ACTAATCGAACGACGATTCACGGTAAAATACTGATAAAATATTTAAATAATATACATACATATGCCTATCTCTTCTTCTCATCCGTTTGTTGAATAGAGACAAATATGGTGTTATGCTCGATGCGATTCTCTAAATTTGTTTTTGTGTATAATTGTAATTCTTTGTGGAGCAGTGTCTTAAACACTAACACTTAATTATTGAACATTATATGTTGTAATCATAACCTTAATTTATTATTTTATAATTTTATGAAATCAGTATTAATTATTTTCATACATTTTAACCATCTCTGATAATAGTTAATTTATCAGATGACACAGCAACAAAGTTATCGGTTCAGTGCAAAACATGTAGCTTTATAATAATAATTTTAAACATGTAATTAACTACATACAGTTATGTAAACAGTGACAATATATTGTATCTAAATAAAGATATAAACCATCGGAAACTTGGTTATAATTCACATTGGTGTATAATCTAAGCGAAACATTCATTATTTACAAAATATTATACTTTAATCTTCATCAAATAAAGCACAAAGTAAGGACAAAGATATTATTGAATTGATGGGAAAAAGTCGGGTGGATCCGCATTAAACTGCACTGACTGTCCTGGGCGACATCTTTGTTCAACTTCAGTTTACGTGAACCTTTTCAAAGGTTGTCATAAAACGATAAATTATCAAGTGATTTGCAATTTTTCCAACACTGGCTATCAATTAATACGTCGATAAAGTTGTATAAATATACAAATCAAAAATATATAATAAAAAGCGGGAGACACAATTCTTATATGACCGATTCAAAATGTAATCGATCATTCGACCAATAATAAGATACGGAATAATACTAAAATCAATGCGTCGCAAATTTAATTCGACACTTCGACTATGCCCCAATGTGAATAGAGTTCAATATACATATCAGACGATACATAGTATTTCATACTACTGAGGTATTAAACATGTATTTCGTTTAGTACACATAATATAGATTACACGTCTTGTTTTATAGATAACAAGTAATTACATTTAGTTATGTACATACAATATAAAAGTTATTGTTATAATGTGAGACACGTAAGTTGAACCACAATGTCGACGGCGCAGTAGATGATTCTTAAATACTTGAAAAACTTCCAGGTTGACATGCCTCGCAAACGTCAAGCCTCATTATTGATCTTAAAAAAAAAAATGTCGCCTGATATTTATTTTAACCTACATAATTTCTGATATCGTACAAGACTGATATATCAAACAGAATTTAATTATTTTAACAAAAATGACTGATGTATCAAACCGGAAGTTCAAGTTTCCGAGAATCACCTAGTAGCACGTTATCGAGTATCAATGAAGCGCGTAACCATGGCAACGCACCATACCAGACACCGGAAACTACGCGGAAAGCGCCATTTTGTTTCAACTCACTCCCCGCGCATTATACCATTATGACCCGTTGCGATTATCAGAGATTGATTATTGAATATTGCAAATTTCAATGTGTAATGTTTTAAGCATACTTGAAAATCGTCACATTTAAAAAATTACTACAAAATATAATATTTATTCCAGAATGTAGATGACACATTGCAATTGTTAGTATTTAAATAAATTTTTGCATGTATCTGGTGTCTGTACACATACATTTAAAAAACTTAATGGCGGTACGCTGAGGACTTCGCATCATAATGATTGTATCAAAAAACTATTGAAACTATTGTTGACTACATTTATAAAGTTTATATTGCAAATATCTCGGGGCTATTTATTAATTAAACGGGTCCATGCCAACAATTATCGTAAAAGGAGCCTAATCTTAGTCAATGCAATGTATTGTCTATTACAAATACATAAAGTTCACTATACAGTTAGCGCCCTTTTGTTTAAACACCATTCGATATCAAATCCATAGTATTAGTTAAGGTATGAATCCGATGTTGGCTGCACGCGGCGCTGTCATTGCATTAATTCTCCCATTTGAGTAGACTAGATGCCAATTGAGCAACAACTGTTATTTCTTTAGTAGACAACGTGAAGGACGGTTTAAGACGCTGATGAAACATCATTTGCTGTGACAATAAAAATTTCAGAGAATACAGTCTTCTGAGTATACGACACTGATGTGTAGCATATAAAAACCTCTAGAGAATAATATGGTGACCAGTAGTGCTACGCGTTGCCGATATCGGAATCATATATTTAATTACGATTGAATAAAAAAAAACCAACAATATTTTATGTGCATGTAACAACACACATGTCAACTTTAAATATTATGCCTAGTTAAATTGACAGATGTGTTGATTAAATTGCTGTCAAACAGTATCGTCAGTACACTGTTTTTCCACACTGTTGGTATTCTTCATAAATACTAAATGAACACGTTAAATAGTTTTTTTCTTTTAAATAAGGCAATACTATTTCTGTATCTATATATGATGTAAACTCTTCCAATATTAATGATTTCATTATACATAGTGTGCTAATATCGCCGCTTACCTCGCATTACATACTACGTATAATACACAGACGCTTCAAAAGGAACCACAACCCTTTAGTATTAGGTTCACAATTCTATATCAATCAAATGGAGGCAGTCCACCGCCCGTCATAGGCCGTGCTCACGCGCAGCGGTACATCATCTCCGCCCTTCGAGTTCGCTACATAAAGAATTCTGAATCTTAACACTAATAATTTACATGAAATCTCAAACAATCTCAAATTCATACTTAAATACTTTTCAAAGTCATACGCAAGTGTTCGTATACCTCTATAGGTACATTATGTAACAATTTAAATCTATTCACGCCCAGAATGATTCACTCTCCCTAGATACAAATTGTACTCACACTGAATTCTCGTAATACAGACATTCGTTTCATATATACCTAAATATTTTTACAGCAATATTACAATAAGTGTTTGCGCAAGCGCATCATTTGCGTTCCGCAAACGGAATGATAAATTTAAATGCGACTCATAGCGAGCAAGTGGATGTCATCACTTGTATATCATTACCATGATTGATCGATATTAATACATCATATTTACATGAACTTTAGGTCGAGAGTCTAGGAGATGTTACTTTACTTAATACAAACATTTATTACAAAAAAACTATACTAAATAGCTAAAGCTTATTAAAATTTTAATGTTATGTTTTCATAGCCTATTTATTGAATAATATGTATATCTTGATGAGTGACTAAGGAATTTTTAATATGGTCCAATAGTATTTAAATATCCACATACTATTATAAATATTAATAGATGAAATTAGAAGAAAAGACAAGAAAGTGAAGAAAAACAAAAGTCAAAAAATCGTATTACAATGGAAAAGTTAAACGTAATGTTTGTATAAACTCCGTCTCGTCTCTGTAAAGTTAACATAAATACTGCGTATTTTGATCATAAGTATAGTAAATAGTGTCAAGTCTAGGGCTTCAGAGTGGTCGTTTTAAATGCATAAGTCATTATCGAGTAGGTCTCGGTTATGATCCATGATTTGGTATGGTTTACTTCTTTATTTAGAGCAGGTTTGTATTATTGATGGCACTGATCAGTATGTGTCTGGAGTGCGGGGGGCGATCGCCATGCGTTGCGCGTGCACACGCGGATGAGCCTCCGACGGCGATGCGATGCTTTACCTAACAGATACATGTTTAATTGTTAATTAGTTTTGTTATTGTTCAATCACTGCAAGTTGTAAAAACAATTAAACCAAAATGGATATTTAGAGTGGAAAATCTTTACAATTTTCAAAAAACAAAAATCATGTTTCTGTATAAATTGACTAAGGAATTATTTATTGAAAAGAAAAATTAAAGTATTTCCGTTCTGAAGATCAATTTTGGTTCTACGGGTTACCACTTGTTTGCTTTCCAGCGTCGATATTCTTAATAAATATCTGGTGGGGGACGATACTCATAGGTACCATAATTACGTCAGTGGCTGCCTCTTTAAATTACTGTGTTACAAATTAGAAAGTGTTTTACTCGTATTTTGTATCCACATATTTAATAATATTAATATGTTATTATATTTTTAAATTTATCTTAATAACGATATTAAACCGTAGAAAAAAAATGGGCTGCATAGATATTTTGCTGGAATATTGTCAAAGTTTTAGTATAGAACTTCTGTTTCTGTTGCACAGATAATTCACACAGATAATACTATTCTATTAACCTACATAGGTTGGATCATAGTTTACGTGAGTTACGTCTACGTTATTAGTTGCTACCTCAAAGTAGAATCATAATAAACATTCCTGCCTTGCAATTCTGTAAAAATCCAAACTCAAAGTCGAATATATTTCTCCATCCGCTCAATCTTGATTTGGTACTACCGTTTCGTGGCATAAGTGAATTGAGTTTCGAAATGACATAGGAATAGAATACCTGAGACACGTATAATCTATTAATTTTGTTTTGTATTTTTATACAAAAAATGGAATCAAAAGAATTTCTTTCGAAAATGAGTGACTTCGGATTCGGATTTTTACAGAATCTCCATGCTGGTCTTAGAACTATATGGGGGTTGGATACCAGATGTTTCCCTTCCCCACCGAAGGAAGATCACAGCGGTTCTCACCAGCACGTGAAGCATGACAAACAAAACTTTTCTCGGGTGTTCTCATACATCTCACTCTTGACCCGACAGAAAATGACATTTGAGTGAAGACAAAACGTTCTCGAATTCACTCACAATTCTCCTGCGTCACAATAACAACAAAAAACTGTGTGTGTGGACCCGGCTCGAAGGACCATTTGATGTACGAGATGATGGTACACCAAAGAAAAGAGATTATAATTTGCTAGATACAGTTTATTGGCACACAAAATACTTATATGTGAATTAGTAATTAATGTATTATGATTATGAGTCGCGATTGAATAAATAACTAACGTGGCATGCCCTAGATTTGGCACAGTAGCGTAAAAATGCAACGCTGCAATTGTGCGGTCCATTGTACCGTACAGTGTGTGTGTGTTACCTGTGCACGATGGTGTGCAGTTCCCGCAGCGCCTGCTCCACACCGTCGGCGAGGTGGTGCGTGGGCGGTGCGGGCGACGCCAGCGCCCTCGCCTCCGCCTCGAGGCGTGCGGCGGCCGCGCGCAACTGCACGCGCAACTGCGGCGCGCACGCCCCGCCCGCCGCCGCCGCGCACGACGACCCGAGCCGCGCGAGCCGCTCGGACGTCTGCAGCCGCCAGAGGCTGCCGCGCCCGCCGCCGCCGCCGCACCCGCGCCTCACCTGCTCAACGCGGGGTATCACGTCATCGGACAGCGCAACTCTATTTTTTTTCAATGCAGTTGCTCATAAAGCGCTATTTTTTTAATCCATTGTAAACACCGAAAGTGAGTCTTTTAACACATGTTAAATAAAAATGTACTGAAATCCTTTACTGCACACGTGCTTAAAAGTATTTTTTTATTTTTTTTGGCCGAGCACCAAAGAAATTAAAAAAAAATTGATGAAAATATGTCAAACTTTAGAGGCAAAAGTATTTCAAGGAGCCTAGAACGAATATTTTCAAATAAAAACGCCTGACACGAAAACATATTCAAATATCACGTTTAATTTTAACAAATAATTTTTACCTTCAATATATACTTAGTTTTATTAACCCATATATTTGTTTTATTTCCTCGCAAAAAGCATTGAAAAATGTTGTAAGAAACTTGAGCGTAAAAGGTTTTTTGAATTCGTGTCAATTTGGCCCTTATTCGTAAAACCTTACTTTCCGCACTCGTATCTTAAATAACTATTTTGGCATTCTCGATTATTACTTTTTCGACATTGTCAAATATTGGATTAATAATCATGCAGTTTAACTGTACTATTAAAAAAGCTTATTATAAGGTATCCGATTATATAACAGATAAGAACGCTTGGACTTGAGATGGTCCAGCAACTGGATAGGTGATTACTTCTAAACCCATTATGTATTAAAAATTATCTTGTTTCCATTATTATTAAATTATTATGATATCATAATATTAAGCTTTTTCTCTCTATTTATAATATATTTATCTGTTAATGACATGGTTTTTGTGTATGTCGTTGCTCCTATTAGAGTTGATGAGTTTCTTGCTCGCTCTTCTTATCAGCCAAAAGACGTCCTGAACGAACGGTAGGGAAAAAAATGTTGGACGATTCAAAAGTAATTTTTAGAAGTCTATTTAAACAAAGATTATTTTGACATTGACTTATGGCCTGTACGTTAATTTAAAAAAATGTAATAAAACATTTATTTTTCTCCACAAAGGACCCTTTGTGGTGAAGTGGGAGAAAAAACCTATAATATTTAGTCCTGTCATGAGAAGACTAGTACCTGATGTGGGCTTCGCAATAAACAGAAATAATATTCGCGAACTAATCTAACAATAGGAAGTGTGTGTATGTATGTATGTGAGTGATATGCGTGTATGTAAAGGAGTAAGTAAGTGGGTTATGCACTTAAGAGAAATATAAGTCGTCTCAATCATAACGAGAACGATATTTTTAAATCGATATAAAAAAATTAACAAAAAAGTCGATAACTAGGAGTGAAAGGAATTTTAGCGGTTTTAATTAAAGTAATTCATTTAATTTTAAATGTCAGTTTGTCTATATTGTTCTTGGTGAAAAGTAAATGTTTCAATTATATTTATGTCAAAGTTTGGTTACCCATAATAGGGTAGTTTAGTAAAAAACAAATCACGAATATACATGAAAACGAAAATTTACATTCTAATAAACATAGAAATTCTGATCTGGAGTCATAAACCAACACGATTATCTCAAAAATAATAGGCAAGATTTATTTGTCTACGTGTCTCGTGACTTGAAACACAACACGCCACAGTGTGAAGTTAGTCTTATATGCTTTTTTATTATAAAACAAATTCATAGATGGTGCTGTTATTACCCAATTTTGCAGTTGATCGTTAAATATGTCTTTTTAAAATTAAAATAAACTACTAGTACTATTTCAAACAAAGAATCGAGAAATCCCTATTATTAAGAACTTTTAAATCCACTAAAGCTTTTTTATTATTATAAACAATAAATATAAATTTCCACTGTTAGTGTGGATTACCTTAACATTGATGAAAATACATTCACTAGTAGCAAAAAGTAACAAGTACCTGAAAAATTCGTTAGGGTCTCAGGTAGCTTAACGATTAGAGCAGTCTCCCGGAATGTGAAAAGTTGTGAGTTCGAGTTCCACTTCGGGGTAACAGGGGATTGTGGATTTTTAAGCAATTCTTATTAAAATATTTAGTATAGCACTGTGACTGCAAAAATTACCAATGTTCGTTCACGGACTAATAGAATAGGCCCTTTAAGTATCATATTTATTTACACGAGTTAGACTACTAATTTCCAATGATTCATTCCAGTTCTTACCTCGTTGGTGCACCAGTCTAGAGAGGCCCTCAGTGAGGCCAGCACGTCGTCTTCATCGTCTCGGGGGGCGAGTGGGGTCGCGTATATACCCCCCTTTGACTTCCTCACTGCAGGTTTGTGCGGTACCACGGGCCTCTCATCCCGCCGTCTACTCCTCTCTTCAGGAGAAGTCTCCTCTTCATCCTTCAGAAAAAAAAAAAATTTATCTTACCCAGTACCTCTAATATAGTACGTTTTTATACCAAAGTTATCATCTGCCGTGACGTATTATGCGTCGCTTGTTGCAACTATTGCTCTACATTTCTTTTCAAAAGGCAAATTGATTTCCGAGAAATACTATACGTGCACATGTATTGCACAGAAGGTAGTTGCATGTTCCACCGAGTTATCAATTTTTGTTTAAATAATATGATGCTAAGTACAAAATTATCTTGTACAGAAAGTAAAGATTCACATTGCAAACTTGTTGATTGTTTAAAAAAGAGGATGCAACGTGAATTTGATGAACCATCTTGTTAAAAAAGAATAAGTTTCATTCATTAATTTACACAAATTTTTAAAACTTACATAAAAAAAATACTGGTCGTTAAAATACGAATGATAAAACTTTACCTTGCTCCGTAGCTTAGGACTGAGCCGTTCCTCTGTCTCCTTATTTTCCCAAAGCTTCTTCAAGCTGCTGATACTGCCAGTACTGCGACGTTTGTCCTCTTCGTCGCCACCACTAGTGTCCAGAGACCCACTCTCCGATCGTTTCCTATCAGACTCTTTGCAATCCTCTGGGGAACTCTGTTCCTTCTTAACAGTCCCGTTAGTAGCGGCCGTTCCGCTGTCGACCTTCCTCAATCGAGATTTAAAGTCTATAATGGATCGACCAGACTCCTCGGTCTCCTTCGCCGCACTGTTAACTTTCTTGTTGGTCTCGACCTTTTTCAATTGTGACTTAAAATCGGTGCCCGGTTTGTCGTCCTTCCTTTGATCGACGTTATTGTTGTACGGGGTTTTGCGTAAGCTCGCCTTTAAATCTATAGGCGAGACGGTCTCTTTTCCGTTGTCCACCGGTCGGGCGGGCGGAGGTTCGGACTTCTTATCCTTGCGCGGTTCGAGATTCAGACTCTCCGACAGTTCGGAGACCAGCCTGGTGACCGGATCACCGAACGATGGATGCACTTCGATGATGTCATGGGGAGGTGAATCTTTCTGTCTTTGTTTCTTTTTGTCGGCTCGCTCTTTAATCTCGGCGACTAGTTTCAATTCGAGCATCTCCTTCATGGTTTGTTTGGCGGACTTTTCGTCGGGTTCGTGTTCCGCGGTGTCGGTGCCGGCGTCGCGGCAGCATTCGGGGGGCGGGGGCGGGGGCGGTTGTGTTTCCTCGGGGGGCGGGGGTAAGTCAGGCGGTGGGGGTGGGAACTCGAGCTCGGCGAGTCGGGGGCGCGGTTTAGCGGGGCTGTTGGCGAACGAGCGGAGGGGGGCCGCAGCACGGGCGGTACGGGGCGACGCGGGGGCGGGGGCTGTGACTCCACCCGACGAGTTGGAGCGGATCATGTGGGTTTGTGCACGGGCGGTGCGCGGGGAGAGGGAGCGCGCCTCCTCTAGGGGGGTGGGGTTAGCTGCGGGGGCGGGGCCGCCTGTTTGACGGAGCGACTCCAGGTAGGCGCCTATACGGGCCCCTTTGGGCAAGGTACCGTAGCGGTTGATGGCGCGTTTCACGTTCTGCACTTCAAGAGCTGCTACTTGGACGCCCTGCTGAGATTTCAAATTTATATATTATATTATATATTACACAAAACTTAAATAGAAATATTGCCATAGATATATTTTTACAGGGTAGTTTATTTTCTAGGGTAATAATTGGACACCAGGGATTCTGGACATGTCTTAATTGTCACAAACAATTTCCATGCATTTATTCTGAATATAGTATTCCATTTCCTTATCATATTATGCACCGTCAATTCGTTATTTCAATTGCTTCTCAACTCTAATTAGACATTACTTTAGTCTTTACTTAAAAGTCATAAATATATCACGACGATGGGCTCGGTATCTTGTTCCACGTGTACCTTTGGTTGCAATTCGTGGTGATGGGTAGGCGGGTGGTGACGCCTTTTAGCGCGATGTCGATGTTCCTGAGCCTGGGCCCCGGGCGCTGACCCCCCGGGGCCGGACTCGTCCGTATCCGGCGTCGCCTCCGCCAGGGAGCCCTCCGAGGACGCCTCGCGCGCCCCTCCCGGGCCCCCGCGACCGCCCCCTGAGACACACGGCTCAGTATTACCTTAAAGTTTATAAAAATTTTAAAAATCAGTATTTATTTTTTGTAATGCTTAGGATATATACCTATACATTATAATGGATATGTCTGCGATCTTGGGAATCAATGGATTTGTTTTTGTGGTTCGATGTTTCATTTTAATTACTTTTCACTGTCGAAAATAAATCATGTCGAATCACATTGTTCTTACTTATTTAAGCCAATGCTTTTAGAAAATCTGAAATACTTGTGTACATCGTCATGAGCACGAAACACACTACCATAAAAGCATATAAACATTTTCATACATAAATGAAAATGATTTCCTTAAATTGAAATTATATTTAAAATCAAAACTATAATTGATAAATTTTGCACCCATTGAAATTATTATTCAATAAGACAATTATAAGAAAACAAAGTCTGTCAGAAGGTGCCTCGCGATTTTAGTTAACCATTGAAAAAATATTAATGCTACATTATATTTAAAATTAATATACTGCATTGTTACAAATTTAAAGTCGGCGCTATATGACAGACTATAGGAGTGATAATTAACTGCACTAATACGATTATTATGGGTTCATTCACGCTTTATTAGGATTCTTATACTTTCACATACACTATGAAGAAGAAACTTTTAAACGTGTTATGATACTTTTTTGTACGTAGTCACTATCAAGCCAAAGTAAAAACAGTATTTATTTAAGTTGATTTAGACAACGCGTTAATTTTATCATTACTTTATTATATATATTTTTTTAAATTATCACCTACTATAGTTACTATATTACAGATGGTATTATTATATAGTACACTACAATATGTTGATAGCTAAGAGCGCATGGGTAATTATATTAATTACGATACATACATAAATGTGTATATACAAATACGAATAAAGAAAAGCTGTAACTTGTAAACACACGCAACCAAAACAAGACATGAAAAATAATTTGCACTAAAATAGCCAACTATTGTAAAATTAAAGGTCAATTATATTTGATACAAATAATAACCTTTCGCTCGTTTACGTACAAATTATCAAACATTTTATATGCAACTTAATTTATTTCTATGCTAATATATCATTATTTAAAAAAAAAACACTTGCTGAGAGTGTAAGGAGGTTCATTTGTAAATGTTATCAAGACAAATTAAATAAAACAAATTGCTAATCGTCATGTGATGCTGGTTGGTGTCGAGTAGCAAATGTACTTTAATCAAGAATGTTTCAAAAGAAACAGAGAGAGAGAGAGATTTCTAAGGAGTCAGATTTGATCCATCAGTAGATCAATTTGTTTTTAATTTATTTTATAATAAAGGTTAGTTGAAATTCGTTTTAAAAGTTCGATTAACTAAACACATAACGAATGTTGAAATATGCACAATTAATAATAATAATTTATTTATTATTTAGTATATTGCAATAAGCATACATAAATGCTGACATTTGGAAATCCTGTAACGTTGCCAAATAAATAATAATCAAAGTAAATAATTCATTGATATATATATAAATTAAAAGGGTAGAAAATAAATTAAAAAGCAAATCATGTCACTGTTAGTTATCTCACAGAAATGAATTGCTTATAAATGTTTTATAAATTAATGCTTGCTTACTCATGCATTACTTATTTGTTTCGGGAACAATGAAAATTTTTACAAGCATTTACTATAGGTAAATATATATGTATTTTACAAAATATCATCATTTAATATTTATGTAAAAAAAAATTATAAAGAAAACATCTTTGAAAAAATAAAACAAACGCCACACTCGCACAACGGGTCAGAAAGGGACAGAAAATAACTGTTCACGAAATAAAAACAAAACATTTAATTTATACTCAAAGTAATGGTTATTTAAGTAAGTTCAGTAAAATAATAGTTGGTATTATTTAAATAAAAAAATAGTAATCAAGACATATCAACGGATAATATTATAATACGCTATTTCAATCTATGCTTATATATTTGTTTGTTAGAATGAATAAATAAATAAATAATACAAAAACTTTCTAATTTACGCAACTCACCTCACTTTCTGCCACGTTGTGTTTTTACTAAACATACAGTCATACATGTATTATACGTGATAGATGGAATGATATTATACTTATACAATTATACATAGTTTATACTATAATATGCAACATGTTTCTAAATTGAAAATGTAGAGCAATGGTACACACTTCGTCAATATATCGAATGGACTCCTATGCGATTGTAATGATTAAAACGAGATGGTATTATCAAAAGCGTATGGTATCTCATTTTAATAAGGGCATTCGCAACTCAATAAGATTCCATTAAGAGTGAAGTATTTACAATTTATGAAATAAGTACTCTCTAATAATGAAACAAGTTAGACCACGCTGTATTGTGACTGAGCTTGATGTGATCCTTTATTGTTAAATAAAAAAATATATATATAATAAATATTTTTGATATTTTCACAATGTTACATACACTTATATGACGGTGCTAACAAATTGGTCACACAGTAAGTGCAATTAGAACAATAATATAAGTCACTGCCACAAATCTATATCTATGGAAAGAGTGCGTGCGTCTATGGATAACTGACCTCAACGTTTAAGGGACTGTATTGCAGCCGATGGAGACCACTTCGAATAAGCTATATATAATTTCAATGGCTTTAAATTCATGTTATCAACTACAACACTGTAATATTAATAAATTTCCGTTCAATATTTTTTTTTAAATATTCTATGTAACAGTATTTATGGCAAGATTATATATATGAAAAATAATCGCCGAATTGTTTGTACGCGCATAACTTGCGAACGACTGCACCAAATTGGATGATTCTCGTTTTATGTATTCCTTTTTGTCAGGACAAGGTTTGTATATAAGAAAATTTATTAAAAAAATTCGTCAGTCGCGTCTGGAGAAATATAAAAGGATGGTACGCAGTTCGCTGGGTTTAGTTAATCTATTATAAATAACACCAATATTATTTTATTTTCAAAAAGTTATTACTATGAGGACATATCAATAAGATCATTAACTGTGTCGGTTGTATAATTAAACTAAAACCGTGTACTCACTAGAACACAGAAAGGTGTAGGAAGGCCTAGTGGGACTCCGATAAAAACATTATTTAAGCTAATGGTGCTAGATAATAGCAAATGCTTGAAAGTGCCTCTCAGAACTGTTGAAAATTACTAACGTGTGTATTAGATCTAAACAGAGGACCTACAGTTCGGATAATTTTAAACTCTCTCGTCCAATTGTTAAATGCTCGGGCTCGTAAGCTGTTTCGATATTCTATGGTACACAGATCACTCCTCAACTAGTTAGGACATTAAGTTTTTGACATATAAAACTACAACATACACGTTTTGAAATAAAAAATATTTTTACTTTGCAAAATTAAATTTTAAGTGAAATCATGATGATACATCAAGGCCACAATGATGGCTTCTCAATATTCAATAATATTTGTTTAAGATACAGGTCTTGTTACAGTAATATAAAACTGATTTTGCTCATTGATGCACACATTATAACACGTTTACAATAAAAATATTAATATTTTTAGAAGAATTTGAACGTCGTTTCTCAATATGCATAGATGTTAATAATTTCCTTTCTATAGGACTGAGAGTGATCACCTTTGTAAAGGCATATACACATTAAGGTGATTCACTTAGAAGTTATTATGTAATAGCGCGATATGGATCTATTTATCATTAAAAAAACACAAATATCATATAAATTAACGAATGGAATACCATCGAATATAATAATATTGATTAGGCATACTAGAAACAAATTTTAATCAAAAAATGTTGAGTTAGTGACAGCAAAAATGCCCGAATATTACAAAAGACTTCTATCGTGCCAAACTTTTTATTACTTTACATATGTGGTCTCTTTGCTATACGTGTATTAAGAATACGTTTTTTTTTTATTATATAAGTAAGCATGCACATTATGTCGTGTTCAATACTGACCGTTGAGAGATGCGAGCGACTCGTCCTGAGCGGATTGCTCGTCGGCCGCGTACTGAGACTCGCGGAACGAACTGCAAGATGACAGCAAGCTGCGCGACCACATGGACAATTAATAAATATGTCGTAAAACACTGAACAGCTAAATAAGTTTACAGATTTCCTATAAAACTGCTAGATTACTATACAAATAAAAAATAAATAATAAGTAAGAATATAAAACAATATATCAGAAACTCATATTTGTATATTGTATAATAGAGCGAGAGACCAGGTTTTGTCTGTTTATCATGTGACTTGAAATTCGAACCGCCATATTGTTACGCCATTTCGTTAAAAAAATCTGCATATGTCAGGCTATTTATAATAGGGTATTTGACACTATTTAAAAATAAGTTGCGTATTATGGTCATCCTGTTAGATAATAATCTGATAAAGTTTATTTCTTAGAATCTGGAGATAAGATAAGCTCAGCTTTATAACCTAAGTAACATAACATATAGAAAATGCAAAATTTTAAAGATTTTAAATGAACGACGAAAACGCCCTGTGATTGGTTATCGTCGCAACCAATAACAGTTTTTGTTTACCGGATGTGACGTCACACAAACCGGCAGCTGTCGTGTCAAAACAGAGTTATTAGAGATACGCAAAATTTGTATTTATACATACAATTTTTAGCTCATTTTTATAAACAAAATCAGAGTAGATACAAATACAAAACATAATTTAACTTCAATTTCTCTTCTGTAATACTATTTGTTTACTTCGTAAATAAATAGTTGATAAATAGGTTATGTCGTCTTGACGTATTTACCGGCATGTGACGTCACAAATACCACGTGTCAACGAAATTACACAGAGCAGCGTCTTTTGAGCGATTTTGGCTATTTAAACTTTAACAATTATTTTCTTCAAAAATAGAACAGATTCTATTATTCTTCATATTGACAGTGTGTTTATAGTGTATCAAGTACCCTATTAGTGATAGCGTATTTTATAACAAAGCATGTTTCTAAATGACGCAGTTCATATTTTATTTTCTTTTTTGTAGAAAGATCGTAAGATGGCACTGTTCTTGTTTGGTTGACATTTTTTCATATCCGAGTGTCGTCATAAATATGACAAACAAGTGTTTAAGCGCGTATTAAAAAGAAATGATTAAATTTTAGCTAAGTAAAACGTGTTTGTTTTTCCGGAATATTTAGTTGTGGCCTATTTATATTCAAATAGACACTTATTAGCACTTTTGTAGGCTCGTAACACCTCATTCGACTGACCTGGTCCGCTTGGGCGGCGTGGGCGCTTGCTTGCCGCGCCTGTTGGTGGGGCGGCGCATCTGCACCGCGCGCTCGCCGCCGGCTTTCTTCAACGACATCTGTGGCGTGGAGGAGCCTTCTTGGAGTTGCTTTTCCACCTCTGTCAATATAACTTATTCACTTTAGCCACATATGCTATAGCCACTTTAGCTCGGTGGTGTAGTGGAGAAGCGCCGCGGCCCGCGATTAAGCAACCTTCACAAGGGTCGGTCACGGGATGGGTGAGCCAAAAATTCTTCGGAAGACACGTTAAGTCGTTGGTCCCAGCTTGGCATAGGCAGTCGTTAATACCCTCCAATCCGCATTGGGCCCGTGCAGTGGAGACGTAAAAGGGCTGATGATGATAAACATATATTGCAAAAATATATTAATTTTGCTTATAAAATATAAACTAATAAGTAATAGGAGATTGATAGGCCGATGGCTGAAACCTACGGATTTAAATGGGCCGAAAGAGCGGTGGTTATTAACTAACTAACTACCGCAGATAGCAAGCAAGAAATTTTAGTCAGTTGGAGAGTTAAATAAAAAAAAAATAAGCTTATGAACGCAAATGAATGCGTTGTTACAGTATCCGGCATGGAAGTAAAAAAGCATGTTCATCTAAAAAGCAGTTAATATAATCAATGAACTAGTACTTAAACCATGAAGATTCTATGTCAATTCAAGGAACCTATTATAATAAAACGGCAATTTCATACTTTAACCCACAGAACATAGAGAGAGATAGAAGTATAATGATATTAATTTAGTATGGGAACCGAGTGTCGCCTCTCCGCACACAAATGCAGATTAGATGAAATAATCATTTTGTTCACTACATGAAAAACCGCCACGCGATACGTTCGCGATAACATAAACAAAATTCCAAAAAGATACTAAGCTAAAAAATCACACGATTAAAAACAAACTCTAATTTAACGTGATAATAAATAATTTACTTTAACATGAATGTTGAACTGTCACGTGACTGTCCAACTTGTATACGGGGATACCAATAGGGAAAAAATATTTTAAGATGATGCACATTTTAAAAAATTGGGGACATCATTTTATGTGCGAACTATTAAGATTAGATTTTGCTGTAACCAAGTGAATAGTGAAATATAACGCTTTTCCCTATATAATTTAATAAAATATCTGATAAAAAAACGCAGTACAAAAACTAAGAAAACTTAATGATAAACTCTATCATTTTTCAATAAGACTTCTCTGTGTGAAATAAAACAGGGAGAAAAAAAACAGCCCTTGCTGAGTTTCTTGCCGGTTCTTCTCAATACAAGGTCTCCCGCTGTAATTTTGCGAACCGATGGCGTAGTTTTCGACTTTCACAAGTGCTCTGTAAAAGCCTAAACTGAATAAATAAATTTTGATTTTGATTTTGATCATATGTCTGTGGAGTAATATAATTAGGCGAGGGAAAGTGTAAAAAATAACAAAAATAATAAAACAACAGATTTTTTGTATTAATCACATTAAGCCTAATTTTTTTTTTCTTACTGGTGTCATTCCGATTGTGCATATTAGTGATGGGACATAATATTAGTTGATAAAATAAGAGCTTTAAATTTTGTTATTAAACAGTTAAATGTAATTCAGTTCCACAATGTTCTACAGTGGTTTGATAGTAATAATATAAAGCTTAATTCAAATAAAACGAAATGCATAAAGTTTGCATTACCTAATGTGGGGAATGTTAATACACTTATAAATTTAAATAGTGAAAAAGTTGAGTTGGTGGAATCGACCAAACTTCCTTAGTTTTACACTAGATTCCCGACTGCAATGGGATCCTCATACTGATAATTTGTCAAGTAGACTGAGTTCTGCAGCATTTGCTGTTAAGAAAATTAGACTCTTGACAAATGATGAAACGGCAAGATTGGTATATTTTAGTTATTTTCATAGTGTAATGACGTATGGTCTATTGTTGTGGGGTTCTGCGGCTAGCATTCAAGATATTTTTATTGTACAAAAGAGAGCTGTCCGCGCTATATATAATTTACGGTCTAGAGAATCTCTCAGAGAAATATTAAAAAAAAAAATATTTTGACTGTTGCCTCTCAATACATCTATGAAAATATGAGTACGCAAGAAAACATTACGATTCCTTCACAAAAAAAAGTAGTGTTCATAATCTTAACACAAGAAATAAAAATAAACTTGCCGTTCCAAGCTTCAGACTTCAGAAAACCAGAGAATAATTTCTGGGTAAATGCATTGCTATGTTCAATAAAGTTCCACAAAATGTAGTTGACCTACCCATAAATAAATTTAAAATTCATGTAAAGAATATACTTATGAGTAAAAGCTATTATAAAGTTGATGATTATTTTAAGGATCGCAATGCATGGAATTAATAGCCTTCGCTTTGTTCTATAAAGACTAATTATATGTTCAACCTATGTCCTACAGACTTTGGAAGTTTATTTATTATTGTGATTTGATATGAAATGACATGATTTATGTAAATGTTATTACTTATGACAAAGAGCTGGTAAGTTTCTTTCGCTTGTTCTTCTTGTCAGCTAAAAGACGTCCTGAACAAGTGGTAGGGGAAAAAAATTTTTTGGACGAATCAAAAGTGCTTGTAATAAAGATATTTTCATTTCTTTATTACAAGCACTTATTATTTATAGCACATCAGAATTTTTAATATCTATCTGCGTGTAATTAATTAACTGAATCTTCGTAAAAAAAGTGCCTGGATAGTTCATTATTTCATTTGTTCAGTATAAGTTCATCTATTATTTTCTCTTGTAAACAGTATTATTTAGTTTTATATAATTATGGCATATACTTATCCATAACGTTGTTATGAAATGATGAAAGAAAAGCTCTAAATAAATATGTTTTAGTTATCGATTACGATCCATATAATTAACACTATCTATCGGTACATTTCAGACAAATGGAGGCACAGCACTATTTTTTGCAAAAGTGCACAAAATGATTTACATTGCTGTCTAGTAATGGGGTCAGAAACATTGATGTTGGTTTGAGCAATCAATGTATATTTTATTTGACATTGTGTCAAATTATTACGTTTTTTATATTTTAGCACTAAAATTGTATTTACCAGTGAAAGGAAATGTTTGCATTAGTTAGATTGTATACTTTGCTTTGCTTTTTGCAAGTGATAATAGCACAAAACGGTATTTTTTATAGAAAAAATCTGTAAAATCACCACTCGACGATTGACGAACGACTGGCAAACATAAAACCGAGGAAAGGGCGTCATATGAGTAAAAGCGCATATGCCAGACACGCTTGCCCCGCCCACTTACTACTTCTAATCTCTCTCTATGTTCTGTGCTTTAACCCCTAATATTTTATAACCTATATAAAACTTTGGTATCTGGGTTTACTCCCATGCCGGTCACTGCACCCATGTATGATGTGATGTCTTATGATTTATTCTCTCTATTCGTATAAGTAAAATCTGTGCTACTGCTGTGGTAACGTTAATAAAACTAGACCAAATCAAGAAGTAGTCCTGTCAAACTGCTTTTTAATAAAATAAGTAAACTTAAAGCATCTGTATACATGTAACTATGGAATAACGTGAAAACAAAGCGATATTAAAATGTCTTCTGTTTTTTTGTGTAGTTTTGAGAGTGGTACATATTTATTCAGTATAAAATGGACTCGTGTGTTAATAATCTGACCGTCGTTGATGGAGTTGTCTTGGAACATGTGCTCTAGTGCGTGGTGTATCTCTCTGAAGGAGGGACGATCGGCCGGTGCCCACTGCCAGCAGCCGCGCATCAACTCGTACACCGCGGCGGGACAACCCGGCGGGCACTCCATGCGGTACCCCTGACGCGCACACAAACATACACTATAGTGTATATATCTTTGCATATTATACAAATAACTGATAGGAAATAATACAGTCAGCGTTCAAAAACTATTATACTCGTAGTTAGGAGCTACCGCATAGACAATTAATAACTATATTTCGTACTAGCTTTTGCCGGCGACTTCGTCCGCGTGGTAAAGTAACTTTGAGCAGCATTTCTAACAAATATTTATTCATTATGTCGTCTGAAACACCTGAAATAAAGTTTCATTTATCAAAATCCTTTCTTAGGGAATGCCTACGTCATAGTAGCTTTAAGCATGCAAAGTCTTAGCCCGATCGGTTTAAAATTGAAAAAATTTTATTCATACTAACTTTCATCCCCTATTTTATCCCCTTGGGGGTAGAATTGATCGAAATCGGATAAGCGGATGCCTACGTCATAACATCTACCTGCATGCCAAATTTCAGCCCGATCCGTCCAGTGGTTTGGGCTGTGCGTTGATAGATCACTATGTCAGTCAGTCACCTTTGAGCTATATATATTTAGATAAAATTCACGGTCGGCCAAGAAAGTGGTCTACCAGTTTTGACAACATTTCCCGTGTCTTTAAAGCATCGCTAAAGGCGAATCTTAGAATTGCATACAAACAATAAAAGAGATGCACAATGCTGACGTGTTGTCGTAGAGCACAAATGTTATTTTGACCTTTGCAGCCTATGCATTAGGTAATAATTTGCAACAACAAATAGTCTTCACAATATTTCATAAATTTAAAATTTAAGTAGGTCACTTCAAAGTGGAAACTATTTTGTTACGAAAACTCTTTTACTGAAAAAGAATTTATCACTTGACAGTTCATGTCAAATATTTTCTCGGCATTTTCCGTAGGTATTTTCCTAATTAATTTACACTACAATGCCCCGAAATTTATCCATTAACGAAAGAGCACAAATAATCGCATTACACAATGATGGTTTGAATATTAGTGAGATTTCTAGAGAATTAAATGTGTCGGTAAGTATTATTATGTCTGACGTGAGTTTAATGTAAAATCTCAGACCAAGTCCGAGTGTAAATTTTTTTTTATTTTTTCTGTTCATATTTTATTTTTGATTATAGAGACAAGCTGTCCGTCTTTGGATAAGACGAGAAAGCGAGGAGGGGAATTTGAACGCTCGGAGTCGTAGCGGTCGTAGACCTGAAATATCAGATACTCAGCGAGTCTTCATGAGACGGAGTTATGAGGAATCTGGCTTTATACCAACGCGTTATTTTGCCGACATATTTGACGTGACTCTCCAAACCATTAGAAACCATTTATATTACATGGGCTTACATCACAGGCGTTATGCAAAGAAAATTTATATGACTGACGCTCATAGAATGGCCAGATTAAATTTCGCCATAGAATATTTGGATTTTGATTGGAGTAACACTGTTTTCTGTGACGAGAAAACTTTTAAATCCAGTCAACACGGGCGTCTACCCCTTTGGCGATTCAATAAAACGCGATACAAGCAAAATCATGTCGTGCCAAATAGCGAATCGGGTCGTATCTCGGTAAATTTGTATGGATGGATGACTGCTGATGGTGTTGGAGACTTGACCTTTTTGCTACCACGAGCAACGGCATCAGATTATGTTGATGTTCTCCAAAATGCTATGTTGCCATCCGTCAATTTAATTATTTACAGGATAACTTTCCCTTACATAAAGCAAGGGTAACACGTGCTTGGTTTGATGCACATCCGGAAATAAACTTGATACCATGGCCTGCAAATCGCCAGATCTCAACCCTATTGAAAATATGTGGGGTCTTATGGTTCAGTGATGGTGTAACCGTAATGAACGAACAGCAGAAGCACTACAAAGGCACTGCAATGAGGTTTGGGAGGAAACACGTGGGTCTGATATCTGCTCAAGACTGGTGGGCTCGATGAGGGAACGTCTCCAAGCTGTTATAGAGGCAGATGGCGGCTACACAAGATTTTAAGAATTATAATTTTATAAAAGAATTGTATATATTTTTTAACAACCAAAGAATTAGCATTTTCACTATCTCTTCTAGTTTTAGCCCTTGTCTCGCACTAAGCTATGGGTCGGCGCAATATGTTTTTCGTCGCTATTCATTTCTGTTATCCGTTATCTCAGTATATTCAGACCTATAACACGCATAGCTTCTTACGCATAGCATTTCACTACCTACTGATTTTTTTTATTTGTATTAAAATATAATTAATCTACATTCTATTGTAGGATATTTGTAGACTATAAGACTTTATTTACGATATTCTAACTCTAAAGTATTTAAGCATACAAACAGACAGACAGAAAAAAAAATATTTTTGGCTTCTATTAGTCTTATGAAGGCCGTCCATATATTTTTTTTCCAAAATATCTTACAAATGTAACCTTGTTACATTTTCATTATAGGTATAGATAATTACTGTCAAAGGTTACGTCAAAATGATGAAGATAGCTATAATGACGTGTACTTGACGTGTCAAAAAATTAATGCTACGGAAAATCAACCTTGTTGTTAGTTGACGTAACACGCGAAATTCAACCTTAGGGTGGTAGACCACTTTCTTGGCCGACTGTACATACGAGTTTTGGTTTCATAAAATTCCACTGTAAGAATTTGTCGGAAAGAAACGCATCGTCTACACGGTTGCATGTTTTATATTAATCCCACTATAGTGTTGCCGACGTTGTTATGGGAGAAAAGCATGAGAAATATTAATGAAAAGTTTCTCATTCAATTAAATCACAAGTTAATAGCATAAACATGTTGTATTATAAACCAATAAACTGTGTCTCGATGTTTATCATAAAATGGGAAATGAGATATTTGAAGTTTTCAAACAATGCATAATGATTTTTCCATAATGTATATGTATTGTGATCGTGGAAAATAATCACAGGGCTAAGAGCAGAGTTTAGTTCGAACGTAATTTTATTAAAAAGAAAACATAAATAACGATATTTACTTGCAAGGAATTAATAAAAAATGAGTCGAATGAGTCCTATGTCCCTTGCCCTCCTGCGCACGGAAATGAGATAGATAAACACACCCAACCTTAAATTCACTACTTCAGGGCGCCTTAACTCTATAGCCTTGTTTCTAGCCATACGAAACAACTTTAAATAACAAGATTTAAAATTTGTTATTTTTAAGTAATATTTAACTAATGACATATGTCTAAATAAATGATAACATTTCGAACGTATGAAAATTGTTAAGGAATCGAATTATTAAATAAATACCATTTGTATCCAAAACGATAAGACTGGAAAGATTAGATTATCATGTACTGTACACATGTACAGTGCATATACCTATTCTTTTATGTGTGCAAGACAATATATTTCTCAGGGTTTCATAAAATCATAATAAATCAGATTAGCAGTTTACTTCTTAAAATTTCAGATAAACTTTCATCCCCTAATTTACCCCCTTATGAGTAAAATTTGTGAGCTCCTAGCACTTGTAGTAACGAAGTTTCATACAAACTTTCATTTCCTAATTTAGCCCCTTCGGAGCTGGAATTTCCAAAAATCCTCTCAGTGCTCCTCTACAGTTCCTAAGGAATCTTCATTCCAAATTTCAACTTTCTATGCTCAGTAGTTTCTGCTGTACGTTGTCTGTCAGTCAGTCAGTCACTAGGTAACGCAAGAAGTTTATATGTATAAATTTGGGGTACGACCGTCTAACGACCTCTTGCCTTAGGATACGATACCTAAGCGATGTTATTTCATTTATTTTTTACAGTTTCACATATTTTTGGTATTTAAACGACTTAATAGTTTAATAGACCAGTTTAATAGTTTGGGACTTCGTTATAAAGACTTCTTTCAATATTTAAAAACAACTACAATTAAAGCGGTACTTGCTTACTATGAAGTGATTTTAGTTCGTCATCTCATCAATGTTTGGTATTGTAACATGATTCATCTAGTCTGTTGCCGAAAAGGCGAGTCCCTGATGATAGATAGCAATGCGCGGAGCGTGTAGACTACGACAGATATACTAGGATACGACATTAGCTTTGTGGCGATGTCGAGAAGATTTTTTAATGATGATTATGATGTAGAATAAATATAATACATAAATATCAGCCTGACTGTTTGATTTGATATTATTGCCCCGATTGAAGGTAGGATAGAAAGAACCGCAATGACTCAGAACCAAGACATTATGAAGAAAGTTGTTTTCTTTATTGATTCGTCGCAAATAAAGATTCTTTGGTCAAAGGATAAAGTGTCAGTAGGTAATGAATAAACAGACGAAAGATAATGTATCGTAAAGAATGTTTTTCTGAAGTATCTATGTATAATCCTAGTTTTTACAATTGAATCAATCTTCATTCTCTTTTTTGAATTTACTTTGGCCTGTTGCTCAATGCTGTTAAAGTTAACGTAACAAAAGTGTGTCAACGACGTATCAATAGTAACTTTTTTGACACAGTTCTTGTTACTACGAGATCACAAAATAAATAACAAAAAGAACGTGTCGTCATTGATTCATTAAGAATCAACTGTAAAAAATAATAATAATAATGCAGATGGAAACGAAATTAAGTGAAACGTGATCGTAGCGCCTGAAAACCGATTCGGTAAGTTCAGTGTTCCGCTCGCTCTTCGCTGTCATCGTGACCGCGGACGATATAATGTCTAACGCGGCAGTGTAGTAACATAATTGTCAATATAAACAAATACAATGCAATATTATTTGTAAATACGCGTGGCTAGCTACATAGTGCTTGTATGTACCGTCAACAAAAACATTATAGATATACACGACTATTACTTGTAAATTGTTCATATGTACATGATGATTTTTTTTAAAGAAACCTATATTTGTAATGAATACAATGTCATCCACAATGGTGGATAAGTGCAGGGAAGAATCTATCCCATCCTCTATTTAAATACAAAATAAACTAGCTATTATTTGTTTTTAAAACTATGTTAGGGTAAGAGTGAGCTTTGTTTTCTTATCGTTCTGTATCGTTGTCGTTACGACGTTATAAAATACACCCCATTTATACATTTGTATAATAAGATACTGTAAACATTTGTTTCCTTATGAAACAAAAAATGTCAAAACTGTGTAAAAATAAGAAATAAACGTAAAACCTACCGTTGCTTATTCCCTGTACTAGAAATGATTATTAAATATCGGTAGTTAGCAAACCCAGACGTAAGGAGAAAAAGACTCACATGAACGAGAAAAACGGTCTGTTACTCAGCGCAGGAAGCAGTATAAAAAGAAACGGTACGAGGTGTATAAAGTAAAAGAAAGGAATTTTATAATTCCTTACTTAAAAGAAGTATGAAACCTTCGCATAAATTCCGAAGATTCGTTCATTCATTCAGTTATATAATATATCACCCTTATTAGATTTAGCTTCCCTTACGTGAAAGAATTTTCACAATTCGATCAGTATCACCGAAGATAATCTCTGCAAAGTTAGAAAGTTTACCTAATTATAATATTAGATTAGATTAAATGTAACAATCACGAGTATCATAAAAATTAATAAAAAAAGATTTAATTAACTTAGTAGCAATATAATATCCCACAAATTTCTTTCAATATACGCGAAGGTATAGGTTTCAAACTGAACTAGTATAATCAAATCATGCATATTACTAACAAAATAGCATGGATGGTGACCATAAACTCTCTCACCGATCGCCAACACAATGGCGGATTATCTAATGCTGGGCTCAATGACGATTGTTCGGTATTGAAACATTAGTTAACATTTATATAAGTAATGTTACAACTGCACCGTACTTATTGTACTTTTACAAGAAAATTCTCATAATAAAGGGATGCTTAAGTAAACATTTCTGATTCGATTATTTCAGTCATTGTCTATGCTGTGATATTAGCTTAGATAATGGATAAATACAGTCCACAGAGAAACGGAATGTCTGCAATGGTTTATTAATAGGTTGGGGAAAAAGTTTCTTCGCATTTAATATGAAAATTCAAATTTTCTAATAAAATTTATTTATATTTAACTAAAAAAAGTATATAGAAACCATTTTGTTCGTTAACTATTTGCCACCTTGTAAGCAGGAACACGATCGCGTTGCTATAGAAATTTTGGGGCTTTTGATCAAAAAGGCGCGACAAGTGGTTTTGGCAGTCTTCGCCTGGCATTGCCTAAAGAATTCTTAAGAGACCGAAACAGGTTGAAATCTGAAGGTGCAAGGTCAGGACTATACGGCGGATGCATTCATACCTCTCAGCCAAGTTCTCTTAATTTTTGCCGTGTGTCAAAAGAGGTGTGAGGTGTTGCGTTATCATGATGAAAAACCACACCCCTTCTACAGACTAATTCTGGCTGTTTTCTCTCCACTTCTTGCTTTCATCTCATCAGTTGTTCACACATTTTTCTAATTTGAATTCGGAGTTATCTTATCTTCTTAAAAATTTAAACTTTTTAATGATAGCGAAACCAGCCAGACACAAATAATACCCTATCTGTATACAAAATTTCATCAAAATCCCTTCATTAAGAGTGATTAACAGACAAACATACAAACATCCGAACAAAGAAATTTTCACATTTGTAATATTAATAGGATAGTTGATTAGTAACTCTTTTATTTTATCTGAAATATATTATCGAGTGTACGTGAATAAGACCTACAATATACCAATTAATGATTTTTGATATTTTGAAAAAAGAAACTGGACGATAACTGGGAATTAACTTATTAATTTTTTATAATATATATTATGGTGTTTCTATGGATTAACGAAACCTATATACACACACTATGCAAAATTTGATAATCGCAAAGTGCGGTACGAAAATGCAAATTGTATATTTCGGTGGCAGCAACACCCTGTGACGATCGATGGCCATGCGCTCGCGTCACCCGCGCGTTGGGTATAAACACGCGAGCCTGCCGCACCGAAGTCAGTCCACTCTCGGGTTCAGCACACGGCGCACACCAACAACTACCACTGTTCAACAAAATGTTTGGACTCAAGAGTTTCTTTGTGTACTCCCTCTTACTCTCCGTCACGGTACTCGGTAAGAAAAATTAAAATTTAATCCTAGCGGGCCTCCCGGATTTGGAACGAACTCAGTGTTCTAAAGACGCATCGGTTAAAATATATGTTTCCTTTATAATTATTTAATAAAATATTATTTGGGTTTATTACAGAAATTTATATATTTTAATTTACTTTAGATTTATAATATCTGATCAATTTTAGCCCTCAAATATTAATATTAAAAAGCTCGGTTATTGCTTAATTATTTAAGGAAGCTTAGATCGAATGAACTGAACTTCATATCCTCATATTCACAAACAATTTCCACAGGAATAATCAAGGATTTTAATGTGCTACATTCTTTTCATAAAATATTTAAAGAATTTTCCAAATTTAACATCGTTCGACACTCACTTTAGATTTGGGAATGCAAATTTTAAATCCATATGTAAATAAGGATGCTTTTCGTAATCCGTAAGAGCGGCGGCCACAATGTAGCGCTCTCGAGTTCGGCACGTTCCAATGGTAAATAGTAAACATCACTGCATTAGTAATACAGCAACAAATGCTGCACCGCTGCTTTTAAAACATACTATTGGCTATTTTCAATACTGCAGTTAAAATGAGTTAAAGTAAAATTAAAACAGACCTAATTAAATCAACATATATGAGAAAAAATAATTTGCCTAACAATAAAAGAGATAAACGATCAAGTGTTATTTCTTATTTCGGATAAAAATATTTACATAGCTGTCAGAATTTCAATAGATTATAAAGAAAATGAGTATAGTTTTCCCTACTTTATAATTTTTTTATGAGAAAATATAAAATTAAATCCATATCGTTTGTCAAGTTGTGCGCTTTGCCCGAACGTCTAATAGCGGGGACATTAATTTTAGAGAAAATAAGACTATAAAGGTATATATGTTAAGAATACTATTCAATAACAAAGAACTAAAGTTCCTAAAGATCAGATTATTGTCGTAGGTAAGCACAAAAAGGCCAAGCCGAAGAAGTTCGTATCGCCCACCACTAAAGGTATACAATGCTACAACTGCCTGTCGTTCGACCATCCCGGTTGCTGGGATCCGGACCATCCAGACTACGCCAATGTGACGGTCAGTAACAACACGTCTTCGTATTTTATGTCAGCCCAATTTATGACTAGTTCTAAGGCTGTTTCCGGAAGGTAGTTTTTCTATTTTATTATTTATTGGGAAAGCGTTAAAGGTAAAGTTAGATTATGCACTGAAAAGTGTTCCAATCAAGCGTACAAGAACTACATCAACGCAACCAAATGGAGTAAACATTTGCTTCATCCGACTGTTTCTGAGAAAAGTTTTAATGAGCTTTGATAACTACTTAAAGGCTTGATAAAGCTGAAAGCTCAAAGCCTCCAGAAGTTGTAATCAGCAGTTTCTGAAATACAACGTTAATGTTAAAGCCTCAGTGCTATATTCAGCAAATTTCAGAAACTTCCATTTCGTAATATGTTTGCGTTTAGGAGTAGAGGAAACTAAATATTTCACTTGAATTGAGTGCAGTGCATTAAAAGCAAACGTAACACAATTCCAGGTACCCAACATCGACTGCTACATTCCCGGAATGGCGTTCCTGTGCATAGTAATCACATCAGAGTCGGCGAAATTGGGTGAGCTCTTCATATTTACGTTGCCAACATGAGGATGTGAAAATTTGCACGTTGTTAAGTAATTGAATTTAAAACAATTTCCGTGTGAAATTCGCTCTGAATCGATCACGGGATATCAAATTATTTGTATAGTGTTTTTACAAATTACAAAGAGTTCCCGAATGATAAACGCACTAATAGCATATCAGATTACAAATGGCCAAATTTTAAAACCATTTTGAACTTAAATATCAACAGAATAAGACCTTTGAGTGAAACATGGCGTGTTGAAGACTATAGAATGAGGTTGCGTGTTTTAGCCACGTTGTTAGTAATGTTAAATTAAAACATATGAAATTTGCAAGGACAAACACATATTTCAAAATGGCGACTAAACAAAATGTACCCAATTCCGTTTAATATCAGAATATCGGATTGTAACGCTCGTGAAGACATATGTCGATAGATTTTACTGGAATTAATAGACCTTGATTGGTCCATAGTAGATGTTGTGGTTTATTAAAATACTATTTATTCCGAGTTGTTGCTGGCGCGGCGGGAGCGTAAGCAATATTTAGCGTTCGTTTACGCTCAGGGGACGTGGTGTCCGGTTAACTTACAAAGTTGCTTTGTGCCGTCCATGAATAAGTTAAACTGAATGTTACACGAACCATTTACATAAACATCTATATATCTCAAAAGTAGTTTATGAAGAAACATCTTTTTTTTTACAATTTCAGTTACAATCTAATTTGTAGTCTACTTGGAATCGGATTTTATATACTAAGCTAATAAAAATATCCAGAAATTTATTCACGAATCTTATTTAATGTTGTCCAGTGGAAACCGGTCAAGAGATCGGTCCGGTCCGAGCGCGCACATGCGTTCCAGCCAAGGATTTCTCTAAGAAGACCGTTTCATACTCCATGTGCAGTAAGTTGAGCAAGGAACTGTCAGCGTCGGAGATATTCTCCCGTATAGCGGTGATCAGACCACAGTGCACCCTTTGCAAGAAGCATCTGTGTACCGATGCATCGCACTGCTAAAACACGACAGCCAAATAACATCTCGGCGAGAAGCGGAAAAGTTTATTTGGGATAGTGTAGGGACTGTTATTATAGGTCGAGGCATGATTCATGATATTCGATTGGGCATAAGTCAAAGTTTAGGATAATGCTTTGTCTTCGAGTTTTAAGAGTCACTCGTGGTATAACATTGCCGTTTCGCGGTGCGGCTGAACTATGTCTCGACTTATAAAAATATACCGGGTCTATAGAAAAAGCAACATTCTTTAACTTGGAGATGAACGGTCTTAATTTAATTTGTAAATAAATTAAGAAGGAATTGTCATCGGTAAATTGTTACTTAATTGTTGATTCGACGTTATTTGTTGTTGAAAACGTGCGTTTGGTAAACACGACATTTAATACGAACCTGAGATGTTTTATAATAATAAGTGTATGAAATTCCGATGCTGCTGTGTGAACAACATATCAGAGTTACTTCGACGTAAATACTACTTGTAATTAATAACGAAGAAAATTCTACCAGTTACTTGAAGTGGCTCTGGCCAAATTGTTCAAGCGTATGATTTTTTTTTATGGACGTTTATTTCTTTTCTAGATGGAAATATACATCCTTAATACAACTGTAAATGAATTTAAGATTTTATCTATGAGCTTTAGTTATCATGAATTATTTGTATATTAAACGAAATCAAAATCTGAAATTTATTTAAAGTAATAACGGACCTCATTCCCTGTACATAGAGATAGAAACTCAAAGTGTAAGTATTAGCCTAAACGTGTTATGATCGGAAACAAAACAATATGATGATGGAAGTGTGTATGTAATACTGTGCTTAGTTGGGCTACACCTTATCGGTCCGCCGTTGTTGTTAGCACACTCTTTTATGTAACAAACCGTCTGTTTAATAAACCAGTCGTGAAATGCAAAATCGTATAGTACTTTTGTTTTGAAATTAACCACTTGTTGATTATATGACGCATTCGTAAACTTAGTGTTGATGCCGGCTTTGTTTTTATATTTCAATTATTATTTTAATAAAAATATTTTATCACACATTTTTTTTATTGAACTAATTTTCAATAGTACTTCAATTACAGGTAATTATTATTGTATTTTAATAATTATTGAGATATGAACATTTAAAAACCTCATAGTAAAGCATGTATATATATAAACTCGATACATCGCATGGAAGCTATAAGGACACTCAGTCCTTTGGACATTTTTCTCCTTGTATAATAACTAGCTATTTTCCCGCGACTTTTATACAGTCTATGTCATCCGCGTATGATGTAGCTTCTAGAAGGAGAAAGAATTTTTAAATTAGATCAAATAGTTCCGGAGCCTATTTGATGCAAACAAACAAATACATAAACAAATCTTTCCTCTTTATAATATTAGTACAGATAATCGCGCGCAGACATACTTGCATTTTACCATTGTTTTTTTAACGCAAGGTAAATGCACTGCGCCCGTCCTGAAAAGGACAGGCTTAAGCGAGGCCGGCCTATTTGGTAAAACCCGCAGCGAGTGACCTTCGGAGGAAGAGCCCGGGATCTGGTAAGGAGCCCCTCCGAGTCCAGCCCCCAGCAATCATTGTATTACCTGAAGTCCAATATTATTAATGTCTTCCTCGCTAATTAATGGTGAAAGATATAATAATATTGGACTTCAGGTAGATAGTACAAAGGCAAGATGCAAGTATCTGAGATTCTATTATTACCAGAATTGGCATACGGGACTTTTGCTGAAGTAATAATTTTCTCTAGCAGGAATTTTGTCTTTTAGCTTAACTGTAGGGCCGCTGTTTGAGTTTACGTCCCGAGTTGTATGTAATAAGCTATGAAACCGTCCGACAATGTTAGGAAGTTAATTAATTTATATTAAGTGAATTTTAGCATTTTGTTATCATTAGGCGTTAAGTGCTCCATTATAATTTACATTATTATCACTTCTTCAATAGCAATATATTCCATTATATTGCTATCGAAGTCCCTAAGAAGCAAACACGAACTTCGGTTTCCAATAATCCGGGTTGCCCTAGAGTTGGTACTTTGACCGCATATCAAAGATTAACGCAGGATTTCGCGAAACTTTACCGACGATATTGACTTATATTAGTTATATACGTAATAAAACAATGTTATACTACATTCTCCTGGTTGGATTTCGTTAAGCAATCTAGAGAGTATATGAACATTGACCTATAGACATCAGTATGGTACAATAATAGAAACTTAAAAAATATATAATCTAAATTATTAAAACTCGTAGTCAAAATGTTGTTTCTTAAGGTTAGATATCTAATCCTTCGAGGTTGATAGTGTTTTACGGATTCTGAATATTAACCTATATATAATACTTACTTGGAGAAAAAAAATTGTCTATCATTGTATTAAGTAATTTAAAAACGTTTTGTATTATATTTTAAACATTATTATAAATACAAATAGATTATTACTAATAAACGAATAGTATATTAACATTGCGTGAAGAAAACCGTTTAGGTTCTTTTTACGAGCATCTCGCAGACGGACCGAGGAGTACGATGAGTGTTTATATTGTTTCATAATAATGCTTAAAAATACATTACCACCACTCAAAACCGAGACACTAATAGGGGAGTAGACAAGTTGTTTAATATCTGTATTTTATAGATATTAAAAATATATATATTTATAAAAGTATTATTCAACTTTTAGAACTTCAACAAAAATCTTTTTTAAAGAGACTGCCATATGACACAGTAATTTACTTTTCAATTAATTAGAATTTTTGAACGATTTAAAAATTTGTATGCCATGTATAAAAACTCAAAACTGAACATTGTCCTTCACTCAAATTCTGATAATTAGAGCAGACTGTAACTTTTAAGAAAGTAATTTAACATAAGGTCTTGGGTAAAGGAATGCGACAAATCTAAAAAGCTAATAGTATATGACGCTAAGTAGGTTAGCGGCCATGTCAACTGTAAGATTAATATCTTTGATAAATTATTCAATAAGGGAACGAAGTCATTAAAGTATATATAGGTTGTAGCAAAACCTTTAGGAGATACTTTTTGACGCGAAATAATAATTAAAACGCATTTTCTCAACGTTTTCGGTACAAGCTAATAATTTAATAAGACCCTCTTATTTAGTCAGTATTTGTATGGCAACTAGTTGTTTAGTTAGGTAGTTTTAAAAAACTACTACTAACAACTTATCAATGAATTCTTTGACGATTCAACAATCATATTTTCCATCATAATTATTGATCATAATGCTCGTTTAACATTTACGGTACCACTTTCTCACAAAATGATGCGCCACACTGGCATCGCCAAGCAGGAGCTCATCGGCAAAGCCGCCATTGGTCAGATATATGATGAGTGTTTGCCCGATTAACGAAAGGTCCAAGGTTTTTATTCCGTTTTGGGCACCCGAGACGGTTGTTGAATTAAAGATTTTTATTTTATTTTTGATGTCCGTTGAAATTTAATATTGTGCGGCAGTGTATAAATCGAGCGAGCTATTACGTATATATTCAAACACAGTATAATAAAATACAGCAGGCATCAGCAGATTTTATTTGTATATATAAAAAGCCAAGGTGAATGACCGATTAACTGATCTATCAACGTACAACTAAACTAATGGAAATAATTAACCAATAATGGTGTATAGGATGTGAAAATCACGTAATACCTCCAGCCGAGCGGACGGCTAGTTGAACATACCTTCTCGAGCATGTGGTACACGTCAGCGAGGTCGACACCCGGGTACGGCGACATGCCGTACGTGGCAATCTCCCATAACAATATCCCGAACGCCCACACGTCGGACTTGGTGCTGAAGGTGTTGTACGCCAGTCCCTCGGGCGCGGTCCACTTGATCGGGAACTTGGCGCCCGCGTGCGCGGTGTAGGTATCGTCGCGCATCAGACGAGCGAGACCGAAGTCCGCCACTTTCACCAGGTGGTTCTCGCCGACGAGGCAGTTGCGTGCCGCCAGATCCCTAACAAACAGTACATTGGTTAAGAACTGGCTTTACCAGGAGACCGACACCGAAAGTTACTAGAACTGGACACTGCTAACCAGAACAATAAAAAAATGTTTAAATCTTGTAAACGGAATTCTTTGCTAATATTGTTGCGTATGTATTTTATTTAAATTGAAAACTATTTGTGTTGGCGTGAGGATTAATTAAACGCGAGAAAATCTTCATGCAATTATTGATTTATTATTATTTTCGATGTCATTTAAGTCAACAAGAAAGGTTAGACTTCGATTTGCCTTTCGCAGTGGGTGTTTCCTTTCGAAGAATTACCAAGAATAGTTATAGTGAAGAGAGGTCAAAATTTAGTGGCCTCATTCTTCGGAAAGACAAGTCACTATGCGACAATTATTTTACGTGGAAAAAGTTCTATAATTCTATGGTTAGGGTTTAACGTCACGGTTTTATTAGCTTGACTGATATGATAACAGATGACGTTAAGTTTATCTTATTTTGGTAACGAAAAATGAAAGCTTAACAATTATTGACATTTTATAAATGTAGTGTATATTCATAACAATACCGTTACTATACAGTTTACTATACAGTAAATTATATGATACATTATAAATTATTTTGATTGGAAATAATATAAGTTATAAAACTTAACATTGACTAAGAAAATTCAACTGAATATTAAAAAAGCATTTTCATAAATAATGAAACATCTACCTTAAGCCCTTTCCTGAAAGCATAAAATCTAATTTTAGCTTCAATCGGTTGTCATTAACACGCCAAGCGTATCTATTTGCATAAACTAATTATATTATTATAATAGCAATCTTCTAGAGCGAGCAAATTCTGTTTAAAATTACAAATCTCTAAGGTAGACCGTTGTGAGGGTGAAGGATAACCTATTACAGTAGTTATAGCTATATAATAGTGCTCACGAAACTTTTAAATTCACTAACTTTCATATTCTTTTTCGATTGTTTCAACTTGTAATGGCTTTGAATGTTATAAATATTAGATAGAAAAAATATAGACGAAATTATGCTGTTATTGTTTTTCAGAATTCCTAATTTCCAATTTTTTTTTTTTTTTTTTTTTTCTTTATTAGGTCCACTTACAGTTTAATGCACTATGTATAGTTTACAGATAATAATTACATCTAATTTAGAGTTAGAGTACATAAACTAATTACAAGCAGACACCACTTACATCAAAGCAGTGTTTTAATATTATAGTATAGTGTGTATTTCACTGATTAATAACAATATTCCTTATTTTACTAGGCGAGTCTAAAAAGATATCTATTTGATTACTATAGCGGTTCAGGATTCGGGATAGACGAGGGACAGCGGATTTGGCACCAAAAACTGTGGATCTAAAAGGCGGACATAGCGGTGTTATGGGTTTTCGAGGCACTTTTCGTGGCACTTTGAATTTAAAAAGAGAAAGTAATGGGGGACAGTTTATTTTACCCGTTAGTATTTTATGTAAGAATAATAAATCGAGTAAGTCCCGTCTCTTTTCCAATGATGTCATTTTAAAATGTTTGAGTCTTTCCTCGTAACTTTTGAGACTCTTGGCAATACCTTTTGAATACGACAAGTGTCTCATAAACCTTTTTTGTATTCTTTCTAGACGTAAAGTATGAGTTGCATAATGTGGTCGCCATACGACAATGCCATATTCCAAAATGCTTCGTACCAACGAGTTATATAAAATAATTTTAGTGTGTGTATCTTTGAATACTTTGCCATTTCTGATGACGAATCCAAGCATCCGTGATGCCTTTTGTACTACATTATCCAGTTGCGGAATGAACGTCAACTTTTGATCAAAAATTATTCCTAAATCTTTGACTACTTCTGATCTCTTTAGCGCGACATTGTGTATATGATATTGTGTCGATATAAATGCAGTTTTACGTGTAAAATGGACTTGCCGGCATTTTGAAGCATTAAGTTCCATTCCATTTATCCTACACCAATTAACAAGGCTGTTAAGGTCATCTTGCATCTTCAGAGAATCATCATCCGACTTTACAATAAGTCCCAATTTAAGATCGTCAGCATAGAGGAAATGTGATGCATATTTTAAACAGTTAGGCAAATCATTAATGAATATATTAAACAGAATTGGTCCGAGATGTGACCCCTGAGGAACACCTGATAATATATTATAAACATTTGAACTATATCCATTAACTACCACATAAAACCTTCTTTTGAAAAGATATGATGACATCCAATTTAATAAAGATCCAGCTATTCCAAACGATTGCAATTTGTTTATAAGCACTTTATGGCAAACCTTGTCAAATGCTTTACAAAAGTCTGTATATATTACATCAACTTGCTTTCGAGAGTCTAAAGCCTCTGACAGAAGACTTTCAAAGCAAACAAGATTTGTACATGTCGACCGTGCTTCTAGAAAGCCATGTTGATGATCTGTGAAAAACTTTTTACAGTGATTTCGAACAATAGGGCATATTAAAGATTCCAATACCTTAGCAAATATACATAGAAGAGAAATTGGTCTATAGTTCTTCACGCACGATATATCTCCTCCCTTATATATAGGGACAACCTTAGCCAACTTCCACTTATCCGGAAAAACTGCGGATCTTAGTGAGGCATTATAAATGATGTACAATGGCTCTGCCAAACTTTCGGCACAGTTCCTCGCAAAATGTGCTGGAATTTCGTCTGGACCGTGACCTTTGCTTGTATCCACAGATTTTAATTTGTTAGTTATCTCATCAAAATTGATGAAAATGTTATGTAAGTTATTACTGTATGCTTCTTTATAATTTGTAGTAATTGCAACATCGTCTGAGTCCTCATAAATTGACGCAAAAAAACTAGCAAACTGCTTGCAAATTTCTGCTCCTTTAGAAGCCGTGTTAGTGCCATTGTGCATCTTTGCTGGAAATATACTTTTTCCTTTACGCTTTCCTTTAATCATAGTCCACATTAACTTTGGGTTTTTCTTAATCGATTCCTCAATGCTATTCATATAGTCTCTGTGGCATTTTGATGCTAACTTTTTGCATCTAGTTCTGAGAAGTTTAAATGAAATTTCATCTCGCGGGTTTTTATGCTTCATATACTTATGCCTAATATTGTTTTTTTCTCGAAGCAATGAGATTAAATTTGTGCTAAACCACGGAGGATAGTTGGATTTTCTCCGGTTCCTCAATGGTACGTACAACGAAATTGATTCTCTAAGTACATCGTAAAGATGTTTTACCATTTCATTCACATCTGTTACTTTACTAAATAGCTCTGACCATGGTGTACTCTTAAGAAATCGATTTAAGCTTATATAATCTGCTTTATAGAAATTGTACCTCGGGATTTCATTGTTAACTGGCAAATATTTCGGCGATGATAAACTTATTTGTACTTCGAAGGGAGGGTGCACGATATCAATTTTGGAAAGGACATCAGAAGCACACAGCAATTGACAGTTTTGGTTATTGGTAAGAAAAAGGTCTAGTATATTACCACTAATATTAGAAATATGATTAATTTGACACAAATCGTTCAATGCTATAAAATCTATTATTGAACTTTCTAAAGATGGTACATTTCTGTTATAATTTTCAAATTGAGTCCACTTTATTTGTCCTAGATTGAAATCTCCTATTATATACACATCACCTTGAATGCTTTCCAGCGTCAGGTTACAATTACTTAAAAAGGCCTTTAGTAATGTTGGTGTTACTGGAGGAGGAAGATATACAATGCAAAAAGTTACTGTATTAACTGACACATTAACAGGAAAATCTATTGTAACCCATAAATCTTCACAACTACTCTCCCATTGAACATGTCTATTAGAGTTAATTTTTTTTGAGACTGCCAATAAGACGCCCCCTCCTTCCCCTTTATTACTATTTGTTTTATTTCTATCCCTACGATATACCACGTACCTATCATCGAACAATTCACTATCAAAGACATTATTATTCAGCCATGTTTCTGTGAGTATTATTATATCATATTTACTGAGACTTACGCTATTATAAAAATCAACAGTTTTGGTTCTTAGGCCACGTACATTTTGGTAGTATACATTCAGACTTGAGAATTTTAATACTTATATTTATATCAAAATCATGCAAAACAAATAAAAATATGAAGTCAAAATTATTTCAGTTTCTTCAATGAGTCCATATCCTTGACTAAGATAAATGCTGAATCATCAGTTTTTCGCATGAACACTTTCCCATTTTTGACCCACACATGTTTATAACCTTTGTCTTTGGCGTTTTGTCTAGCTGCAGCGTGTAAAACTTTATTTGGTACTGAGAGGTGTTCCATAACATAAATTGGTTTTTTATCATTGGTAATGCCTATGTGAGAGGTGTTTAACTTATTATTCGGATTTGCTTTATTATATTTTATAACGGCAGCTAGAAAGAGATCTCGTTGTTGCAGTGACGACATCTGAATAATAATTGATCTAGGTCGGTAGCTGGCCTTGTCTTGTTTTGACACACGAGTAATATGCTGTATTGTCCCTTCTGTCATATTGTAACCAACCGTTTTTGCGATGCACATAGCTATACCTGATAGATTTTCGTTTTTTGTTTCAGGGACACATTGTACCTCCAGATTATTAGCGCGCGCATTTTGTTCCAGCAGATTAACTTTGACTTTTAAAAGTTGTATTGTCCCTTGCATGTCCTTGTTTTCTTCCTTCAATGTTTTAACTTCCCCGGTCATTTCTTGACACTCTTTAATAGCTGACTCATATTTTTCATTCATAAAAGACATTGATTCCTTTACTTCTTCAATCTCTTTCCTGATACAGATGAGTTCTGTCTTTATAGAATCGACCACTGATCTACCAATTTGTGACACCATGGACGCCAGCTCATTTTGGATTACATCCACTACGATTTCTCTAATGTCATCTTTTGTTACCATATTTTGCGTTTTCGCCTGCGACAATGGAGAAGTAGCCTGTCTCTTCGCTCGTTGCGTGAAACCAATATCACCTTCTTTAGTGTTGCTGTCGTTTGTTTTGGGCGTAATATTTCTTTCAATGTAGTTGGAAATTGATTTTGGCGGTGAACGTTGCATTTTTAATATTTACTTATTTACTTTTATTTCTCGTTTACAAAAAAAGAAGTAAGATAAAAAAAAAACAAAAAAAAATTAATTACAAAAGGAAAAATGGAAATAAAAAGAGAAAAAAAAAACAATTGCCTCCTCTGCGTGGTTCCGATCTTCGGGCTTCGCTGTCGGTTGGACGTAACTCTATCCGTTACACCACGGCGCTTACAAGCAAAGCGTCAAAATATTCAACTATTTTCTGCATTTAACTAATGGCTAAGACAGTCGATTCATTCCGATAACAACTGCATTGTTTGCTGGCAGGTACAAAGTCCAAATGTGTCGTCGATGAACAACGGCTTTTATGAAAGTTTTTTTCAAAAAATCATCACATAAACACAGTACAAATATTTGTTTTGAATAAAATATTGTTTTCACATCAACATTACGCATAGATGTATGCGTTATTCGCTATAGAAATCACGGTTAATATGATTTAATTTCTCAAAATTTTTATCAGCACTTTATACCAATCAAACATCTGAAAAACTCCGAGATAACAATTGTTCTTGACAATCACGCAGTTATTCACTGATTATTGCAATCCCCAACTCGAAACTTGAAAAAAATAAAAGTTATAAATTGACTCGACCGAGAATCAAACGCCAACTCCAAGTGTAAGAACTCCATGGATCATGGAGGTCATGGAGTTCATATATAATAGTGATACTTAACCTTTTCTTCATTTCTATTTCTATATTGCCATGATACCCCGTGCTTTAATATATCTGTCCGTCTAGATAACTACAGTATAATTATACTTTTCATGTACCAATAACTAAAATATAATAGTCGAGTCACAAATTTATAACCCAAACCACATTTTTGTACCTTTATTACTCACTGATAAGAAGCATATTAGAAAGAAAGAAAGAAAGAAAGAAATTTATTGACCCACATACATAATCGTTAACAAGAATACAGTAAAAAAAGAGAAAAAAAAAAAAAATATGCGAGGCCAAGATGGACCCCTATCTCAGCAAAGACCCTAGTATCGTTCATAGATGGGCAGAATGATACTAAGGGCGCTGTTATTCTGATAGGAGCCTTACAGTTGCATCATTAAAAATAAAATAAAATAAAAATTATATACAAGAAAAAAGTAAATAATAATGTGCATATTAAGATATATAAACAATAACACGATATATATTATATTTAAATAACCTATTCTCTCCCAAATCACCAATGTCGAAAGAAAAGAGAATAAAAACTGCGAATACGGCTGTATGGGAATGATTCCTCAGCCAGCTACTACCAAATAACACATAAGTGACTTGACTATGACTCACTCGCTCGCTGTCACTTTCCAATTGAAACAATGCATATCTTAAGAGAAAAACATTTATCCCTACCTACGTAATTGTGTTTCAACTTACATGTATTTACGCTGAAATTGCCACGTTTGATGCCACGTGTTTGCCACGTTTATAATATTGGACATGCCTTTGCGGATATCACACGAAATAATGACGTGCCAAATGTGTGCATTATCAAGGTTAAAAGACAAAAACAGATCGAGCCTGCTGACCTACGCCTAGTGTTTCGTGAGAAAGCTCAAAGGTGAAAGTAAATTCATTTAATAATTAAAGATTGATTCTGCAACATAAAAAGATACTCTCTGAAAAATTTTCTAAGTGCGTATTTTGTTTTTAGATCACGTAATGGTGGAGGGAGATCATTCCAACACTTAGAGGCAGCATATCTAAACGATCCGCGAAAGGCCGTAGTCCGATGCTTAGGGGTTGAAAAGAGATGAGTTTTAGCTCTTTTCGGATATCTGCTGTGCTCCTGCGCCCATTCAAGTTTATTGAACAGGTAATGCGGTTTCCCTGTTTTGACAACATCAAACAGCATGGTAGCTAAGTGCAGTTTCCTACGTGCCTCCATCCTCAATAAATTCGCGGCATTCAGATATGGTGTTACATGAGAACGAGGTGGAATGTGGAAGCAATAGCGTGCACAAGCATTCTGTATACGTTGTATGAGTCTAGCGGTTCCAGACTGAAGACATGGTCCATACACCGTGTCACAGTAATTAAGCTTGGAGAGGACAAGCGATTCACATAGTCGAATACGTAGCTCTTCAGTTATATATGGCCTTATTTTATATAATAATTTGAGACGATAAAAGCAATTTCTGGCACATTCCGAAACATGATGTTGAAAGTTAAGATGGCTGTCTAGAATTAGTCCCAAATTTCTGACTTTGTCTACTCTATCTAATCTTTCTCCATTTAGAGTTATGTTGAAGGAACCACAAGTATCATTGAATTTCGTTAATTTTTTCTTAGTGCCAAATAAAATTAGTTTGGATTTTTTAGGGTTCAGGGTAAGGCAATTGGACTCGCACCAAGCAGCTATATGAGCTAGATCATCGTTAATCTTTGACACCGCAGTAGAATGATCCGTTGGCAAAAATGGTAGAAACAATTGCAGATCATCAGCATATAAATGGTGATAACAGTTTGGGATATGAGCCGTGATGTCAGCGCTATATAGAATATAGAGGATGGGTCCCAAGATAGACCCTTGAGGAACGCCACGCACCACAGGCAGTTGAGATGATTGAATTTTTGACCCATCTGCATTCGTTAACTCGACATACTGCTGCCTATGCGAAAGGTAACTATGAAACCATTTTACTGTTTTTTCATGGAGTCCATAGTATGACAGCTTTGACAATAGTAGAGTTGTATTAATGGAATCAAATGCCCGTGAAAAATCAAGCAGCAGCATGGCGTTGATCATCCCATCGTCTTGATTGGTGAGGAGATTGTCGACGACATCCGCTAGAGCAGTTGCAGTACCATACCCTCTCCGAAATCCAGATTGTGATTGAGGAAGTATATTGTGCTCTTCTAAGTACTCAGTTAGTTGATTGCAGACTATCCTCTCCAAAATCTTAGAGACACATGAGAGGAGACTAATGGGCCGAAGGTCCTGCACTGACTCTGGGTGATCAACTTTTGGTATCGGTCTTACCACCGCAACCTTCCAACTTTTCGGAAAAGTGCATTCCTCTATCGATCTGTTGATTATCATGGTGATGGTCTCCAATGATTGAGGTAAGGTCAGTTGCAACATTTCCAAAGATATGCCATCATTACCTTGAGCGTTCGACTTAAAACCCCTCACAACTTTCAAAACTGTATCTTCACTGACAGTCTGCAGTAGAAAGATGCCGTCCCCATGCCTGTTGTATTCAAAGAAAGTAAGGTTGGATATTGTCACTTTGTTACTACCAGGCACATCAAGACAGTATGCGTTTAAAGCATTGGGGTCATCTAAATGAGCTGGAATATCAGAGCTAACCCGATTATTAGGTAGAATTGTATTTTTTAAATTTTGCCATAGTTTTTTGGAATTGTTTATATTACAATTAATACTCTTATCAAAAAAACATCTTTTCTCACTCTCTATTGCAGCTATGACAAGTTGTTTCATTTTTTTGTAACATTCCTTTAGGGCCATAGTTTTACGTAGTTTATATCTTTTGTGATAGCTGTCTCGAATATACATCATGGATTTAATAGTGTCTGTTATCCATGGGTGAGGAGGGTGCTTGAACTTTCGTTTCTTTATTGGGGCATGGAGATCATAAAAGTTCACGATACAACGGGTAAACGAGTCCACCAGGACGTCAACGTCACTCATGTTGCAGAAATCAGACCATCGAATAGAATCCAAGTCCCTATTAAATTGATCAAGAAGTATATCCTTCATAGGTCTATAGGTTACAAATCGAGGGGTCGGTCTATCTTTCTTTATTTTGAATTCCGCAACAAGCATGGCGTGGGCTCCCAGATCTGGGGAATATTTTACTGTCATCTGAAGAGGTTGTGCATCCGTACAGATCACATCAATGAGACTCTCACTATGATCTGTGAAGTGTGTTGGCTCCTCAACCAACTGGGTCAAATTGACACTATTGAAGAACTGTTGAAGCTGCTTCGATGCGCTACTGCTTTTGTTTAAAAGGTCCACATTGAAATCACCAAGTAATATTAAACGGTCATGTCCTGCAAGTGCGATGACAGAACATGTGATGGCATCGAGAAATATATTAATATCCGCTCTGGGTGGCCTATAGGCAGTTCCGATCGCTATGTCCTGATTGTTTATGCGCAGACTCAACCACATCTGCTCCACCGCTGAAGAAGTTGGGTAGTCACAAGCACGGAAATTTATGCCCCGGCGTACATAAAAACCCACTCCACCACCACGACCTCTCCTAATATGATCGGGTCGTGGAATATGAGTTAGACGATAACCCGCCAGTCTGGGTGCTTTGTAGTCCTGCCCTGGGCTCAGCCAAGTTTCGTTTATGGCCATTATATCTGGGGCCAACCTCTGAACAGCCGCTATGAACTCCTCATGCCTTGTACCTAGTGATCCAGCATTGAAAAGTCCAACTTTGAGGTTTCTACTGCCCATCATTATTCACAATATATAATTGTGAATGGAAAGCGAGATATACTATTATAAAAATAATTTACAGATATTAAAATTTGTTTTAAACATAGAATATATTTGTACATGTAAATAATTATATTGATATATATTAGATTATGTTTGTAAATAATAGATATAGAAATTTTGTGAATATTGTATGGAATGATATAAATGATAAAAAATATAGTATAGAATATATTTGCACAAGTAAATAGTTTATTGATATATATTAGATTATGTTTATAAATAATAGATATAGAAATTTTGGAAATATTGTATGGAATAATATAAATGATAAAAATACAACATAGAATATAATTGCAATTATAATTAAAATAATATGCACATAAATACATTCTCGACATAATTATACAGTAAAACTTAAATTTTAGGTATTTATAATAATAAATCGCTCTCGACAGCTTCATCCAGATGAGCATAAACAATGAGAATAGTATAACGCATTTTGTTATTTTACATAAAAACAATTCGGCATAAATGACTACACATAAATTGATAATCAAGATCGGTGAGTACTGCATTTGTGACTCCCGATAATTACAAAAAGAGACATATAGCTTACATATTTTTTTTTTTTTACTTAGGTCACTGGGTAGAGATCGACTCCCGAGGGCCGAACGCGCGAACGAGGTCTTCGGCCGTTCGAAATCGAAATACAGGCCGCCCGTCTCCCTGGCGAGCGAATATACGCCCCCGCTTCGTCCGAGAGTAACGCCATCGGAGCTTACGACACTCTTCTCGGACACGACGAAAGAGCTGGCGGTTCGGGCGAGTGAGACGCTCATCGAGAAACAGGCGCGTCCCGTCGGCCGTGGCGAGAGTGCGGCGCACGCGTGCAGCGCTCAGCAGTCGGCGCGACAGCCGCACCACGACGCGCCTCCGCCGGGGGTGGGCCCACGCGCTCCTCCAGCTTTATGCCGATACGCGCCGCCAATCCGGTCACCGCCCGGACGACACTCTCACCCCTCTCCTCCGGGAGGTGGCCGATCTCGAGGTCAGCTAGGAGTGCCTCCTGATCACGATCGTTGAGCTCCGACTTTAATTGTGAAACGGTGCGCTCCGATTCGGCAATTTTCTCGGAGTTCCCCTCTTGCGTTTCCGTCTTCTGCTCGATGAAATCGAGGCGCGACGCGATAGCTGCGAAAGAATTACGCGAGTTTGCCATCTCCTTCCGAAACTCGCGCATCTCCGCTATGCATTCGGCGAATTCACGGCGAAACTCATACACGTCAGAGACGCCCAGCTCTCCTACTTTGATTTCGTCCACGAGGGGGCGACCGACCCCGGACCGAGCGGGCGTCGCCTCCGGTTCGGAGCCCTCGATACGCTTTACCGGAGTGAAGCTGCCGTCGCCTCCCCTTCGCTCATCTTTCTTACAGTTTAGACAAACCCGATCTTTATTTATTTGTGATTTATCATTAAGGGGCGAACGAGCTTTATGATACTTTGACGAACAAACGCTACATGCAGCGGCACTTAGCGGCGATAAGAATTTTCCGCACGCTCCGCGGTTAACCATATTGTATTTCTCTTGGTTGCTTTTCTTGCTGCTTTGTCGATTTCAAAAAGTATCACAACCTCGACCCGTGAAGCGCGCTGCGTTAGAATAGTTCGAAAATTCTCTCCTAGATGGCACCCGTTCAGACGATGTAAATGAAAGCCACTCGCCGCAAGGTGGCGCAATACAAAATCGATAAAGTAGGCAAGTGGTAACAGCTGATATTTCACTTTACCCGTTTTGAGTAAAAAACATCGAATCGCTTGTTGGATTAAGATGATAAATTATAGTTTAGACACTAACACAAGGATCACCAACACTTGTATGACTTTATCAACACTCACACCAGCGACTTGAGAGGAAATCAGTGTAAATAGACCAGATTTTTAAATATTGTGCAGAAAAAAACGAGCACGGTAAGTGTACAATATAACGTCCGTGACGCAAGAAAATGCCTCGATTAAAACCTTCACTATGTAGTTCACTTAAATCGTATCCAGAAGGTTCAAAAGAAGTTCCTCAGCATTCTTTCTTTCAGGCTATATTTCGAGAATACAAATCCTATACGATGAAGCTACAAAAATTTAAAATATCTAATTTTTCACCACGACGTAAATGTCATCAGTTGATATACCCATATAAAAAAGTTCATGTAGTTATTGACTCACCGTCTTGTGTCTACTCAATTTTAAATATAAAATACACCTTTTTTAATAACTGTATGTATGTTCGGTCTTTGTATATTTGGTCCATACTATGCTCAATCGTTTAAGTTTGTTTTGTTAATTAAATTAATAAATAAAAAATACCGCTGTGTCTCAAGACAAAGATGTTTAACCAAAAATGTCAGCTCAGTCACCCAGATAGCGATGGTTAGGGATATGCTCATAGATTCTTTACGCGACCGAATCAGAAACGAGGAGATTCGCTTCGAACTAAAATGACATAACCCTAACAATTGTGCTCCTGAAGTAAAAATGGGAGGTTACATAGCCCGTAGAACAGATGTCCGCTGTCCTTGAGATGCGACCGAGGACCGGAAAATGCCGCTCCCTCCCTCCCACAAGATAAACTGATGATCTTGTTAGGATCGCTGGAAATAGTTGGACGAAGACTGTGCGCGACCAACCGAACTGGCGATTTTTGGAAAAAGCCTTTGTCCAGCAGTTTGCGATTGGGGGGGGACGACGACGACTACAAGGCCCCATTGGCCGAGGGAATAAGGGTTCTGCGAAGGAGACCCGATGGGATAGCCTAGGGACATGCTCTCAGGAAGCCCAAATGGAAGGCCCGCGTGAAACTCTCAACACGAAGGCAGTAAAGATTGGGATCGAGTATTCCCGCCGCGTACCGGCGAATAGGGCTGACGTCTCGCCCGCACCGCCGTGGGATTAGATTAGCCTGCGGGGACGGTCCACCGTCTGAGTAAAGGTTGGGAGCCGGCTCCTTCCTGTCCACGTGAGGTGAACAGCGGCGGGTTTAAAATAGGCTACACGTTTAGTACCATTGGCCACTTACCTGTGTATGAAGGAGCGGCTCTCCAGGTAGCTCATGCCGGACGCGATCTGCGTCGCCATATACATGAGCACGACCGCGTCGGGCGCGGGCTCGCGCGCATTCGCCGCCGCCGCCGCGCGCAAATAGTCGAGCAGGTTCCCGCGCGACATGAACTCGGTTATAATGTAGAACGGCGGCTCCCTGGTGCACACGCCTAGCAACTGGACCAGGTTGCGGTGACGCATCTCCTTCATTATGGCCGCCTCCTCGAGGAAGTCCTTCAGGGCCATCGTGTCGTCTTTCAACGTCTTCACCGCCACCTGTGTGAAATAAATAAATAAAAATAAAACAGTGTCTAACAGGCCAACCGCTCTTGTAAAGGATAAGTTTACCGGTTGCAAGTCTTGCGAAGAATTGTCATAGATTGAAATGCAATGGGACCAAAATTTGACAATTAAACGAAGCTTATATGATATAATTCGTACGAATTAAAATAACAGTGGACCTATTCTATTTGTACACGATGTAAAATCCATGAAAATCATCTATTCATTAGAAGCGTCAGGTCTTTGAAGTCGTATTAGCATTTCGAAAATAAACGAAATTTCGGTTTCAGTGAAATAGAATAGGCCTTCAGGTGTCATGTTAATTCATACGAGTAATATTTTCAAATATTCCAGATTAAATAATTTAAGATCAAAACATATATATATATATATTGAATCAACTTATCACGGTGTAGCTTAGTTGGCTCAATATAAATAACCATACTCACAGTGATATTGCATCGCTTCCACGTGGCCTCGTACACGTCGCCGTATTGCCCTCCGCCCAGTTTGTGTTTCATCACTATGTCCGTGCGATCTATCTCCCACTCGTCGGGTGGCGCCAGCGGGAACACGGTAGGCTTGTTCCTCTTCGGCGCCGGATACAGCAGCTGAGTGATCAGCCCGTCTCCCAACACCGAATGGTGGTGGACCAATTCGGCCAAAGTGCCGAATTTTGATTCCGATGTCACGTACACCTTCTCGAAACAAAAAAATAAAAAATCTCAGGTTCACATGGGGCGTCATAACCGCACAAGATAACCGTAAGCATTGTAAGTGAGCTCGGACTTGAAAAGCGAATAACTTATTTTTAGTTTTTTTATTTTATTAATAAAATAATTTAAGAAGAAGCACGTAAGCATGTTCTAGAGAATTGTGATAGGCACCATATATTTTGATTTATTTTAAGTGTATTTTTTACAAATTTTAATTAGAGTACACACGGCAGCACGTTAGACTATTCACTGTGGACTTTTACCGACTGCGCTTCTTATAGAACTTCCCTACTAACATATTCTGCTTACGGTGGTGGTGTGTAGCGTGAGGTGGAGACGTGTGTACATTTTAATTGATTCTATGGGCAGGAACCGGCCATGTCCTTTCTCTAGTTGATTTTGAACTCTACCTTCAAAACATTAACATTTAAAATGAAGTAGGTTTGAGTAGTTATAAATCAAACCGAATGCTGTGGTCCTCATTGGATGGGGAAAAGTAAAAATAAAAGGAAAATTAAAAGATGCCGACCGTTGTACTAAAACCAGTAGAATGATAATATAAAAGCAGACTTGATACCTTTCCATCAGAGTCCTCGTTGATCCGGTAGTGATACACCCTGCCTTCGTATCGCAGGGAGATGCTTCTTTGGCCAGGACTAGATTCGGATTCGCGGACCTATGATAATATGAACAAGGTTTAATTTCATTTGACTATTTTACAAATTGTAAAAAAGCAAACAAAATTAATAATGCTCCAAACACTGTAAACAAGCTCACCGTCGCTGATAGCCACTATGTCAGACTTAAGTCTATTAAATGTTTATTCTAAAAGTAAGCAATTCTGTTTTCAGAACCTGTTCATTTTGGTATATAATGAAGATGTTGCATGTTGTGGTAATTAATTGAAGGTTAGGTGAGGTTAGGTATATTACACTGAGATGATTTCATATTTTCGGCAGCTCTCCCATAGGAATCATCCTTGTTACGTTGCCCTGTACGATAAGATCTTCTACAAGGTTTGAGACAGATATTTTCTGGCCAGTTACTTGTCGCTAACATGCCGTCAAAAACAGATAATGAAACTCATATTTTAAAAGAATCTGCACCTCCCATGTTTTTAGATATGTGTCTTTAATTATTCAGCAATTGCACCAGTGGAATGAAAATGGGATAGGATACGTTAAATACATACTAGAAAGCTGCCGTTAATGCCCGACGAGAGCAGATACTCAGCAGCGTTGCGCGATATGGGGCCGTGGTACCACGAGTGTTTCTCCAACGAGTTGACCGGGGTGACGTAGTTGCTGGGCACCCAGCCCACGCCGCCGCCCAGCGTATGCGCTTCGCACCATTCCCCACTTTTGTTGTAACTCATAATGCGCACTTGCTCGCCTGCTCAGCAAAATATAATAATGAGGAAGTATTAAAAAAAAACCATTACTTCCCGACACTAAAATAGATGTCGCTACGGTACTTTCTTGATTTCTCCATGACAACTGTATCGGTTTTCTTACATATATAAAAGTAAATTAATTTTCAAAACTCAATAAACAACTCATATATTCTATTTGTACTTTTTCGTATTTGTATTGATACGAACTTCGCAAATTTCAGTTTTTTAATACGTTGTGTTAAAAGGAACGGAAATAACCATCTTTGGTTCATTTGTTTCCTGGAAAAATCAACTTTTGGCAGAGTTAATGAGGTGCTTTTTTATGCTTTCATTCTTTTTCTTAAAATACTCCCCCATTATTTCTCTATATTATCATTTAACACAAAGAGAAGTTTCATTTTTTGTTTGTAATGGATAAACTTAGAAAGTACTAGAATGGTTTTGAAAATATTAAAAACAAATTATATATTACATTATCGACGAGTAATATAGGCTGTATAATTTAAAAAAGGCCTGCATTCAGTTCAAATATTTCACGAAGTAAATAATACTGGAAATTAACCAACGTATTTTCGGATGTCAATTAAATTGTATTCGATTATAGCGAACTCGATTTGAACGTAAATGTTTTTTTTTAAGTTTCAGGGTACGTTGCTGGCATATAACGACACAGCTTATCACTTAGCACGATAAAAAAAAAACACTGATCGAAATAAAATAAAATAAAACTAGACTACACTTGGCCATTATCTCGAATTCTACAGGCATTCAAATGCGGGCGAAAATAACAAGTGTGAGAGGAACATGTATTGATAAGGTACTGTAACGTCCGTGCACATTACTATAGGTAAGAATTCTACCAGTTTTTCATTGCGCCACCCATCTCCACCATTAGATTAAGATATTCGAGTACCTTTCTTGAGACTGAGCTGGTTCTCTCCCCCTGCCTGGAAGTCGTATAGCGCGACAAACAGCTGAGGGTCATCCTCCTCATGATGTGCAAGGAGGTTCTCCTTCGACGTCCACCTGTATAATATGACGATAAGGCATTTATGAAACTAACGAACATAACGACGTAGCATCACTGACACCAGAATGATACTATCATTTAGTTAATAGTCGTATGGTTCTTTCATTTGTTAATAAAAGGAGTTTCTTTTGTATGGAGGCTGGTACTTCATTCAAATTATCTCCAACCAAACATAAAGTATATATTTATCGATAGAGGGCAAATAAACCTTACACATATTAATTACACATATTTTTAGACACCGCCAAAATATTATATTACTAATTTGAAAATTATCTGGTAGATATTTTATCGTTTATGTAGCAACACATGAGAGCATTACGAAAATCTATGGCAACCCCCAATTTGGAATAATAATTTTTATTTGCTATTAATTATGGACATTTCAGACCTCCAAATGTCAATTACAGAGATATTTTAAACGTGGGAATGCGTATGTAACAGGTGCTTAATCCACGACAATCATCCACCAGATGAGCGCTGGGCGGAATCAAAGCTCGAGTTGACAAATTATTAATTCGATTTTCACAATATCGATATATGATTTCTTCACTACGCACGCAACGCTAAGTTATGATAAGTTACTTTGGGGTAATGCCGTAAACAAGAAAATCCCGAAAATGACGAATTACCATCAAATCTGTCATTTTTTTGGTAACGGTTGATGAAGTTCACAAATCATCGGACTATTCTTTTATAGTAAGTTTAAATTCATACTAGTAGTGTTATTTTGCAAAAAATTACGACTGTCGATGCAATCTCACGTGGGGATGTAAAATACTCTAGAAATCATTTGAGGTATGTTTACTAAAATAGAAATGACAAAATATGATAAAAACGTTTCCCAGTAATTTCAAACCGATAAAAGATTAAAGCCAATTTTTTTAAGGTGAACGTTACGATATTTTTTACCCGGACCAAAAGATTTTTTAAGATCGCAATCGCAAAGACATACTAATTATAAAGGGAATTTTTATCTGCCTAAAAATACATTACCAAATTGTAACATTTACGTGTTCAATTGACAGTGTAAATGAATAGCATTGGTTCCTCTTAATGTGGAATGTCAACAAAACATGTTATCCTGGCATTAAAACTTTAGTCTTGCAAAATTTTAATAGGTTTTCATTTTCGCAGAAACGAAATATCATGAATGTCACATCCGAGTCTGCTTTGGTCTCGCTCGCTGTGAGCCGAGTTTGTAACAGCTAACGAGTTCTAAACAATTTCTGTCAGCGGTGCAAATAACTCAACGAATAACTATTATTGCAAAACGTCGAAAACTTTGCGACGTTACATTGATGTACGCCCTCTGTAGGATGGGAATGGAACTAATTTGTCACATCATAAAAGTTCACAATTATAAATTTTGGTACTTTATTTGGAATTAAACAGTTAGTAGTTTTGTATGTCATTTTCAAGAATTCTTAAAATAGCATTATTACTTTCGACTCCTTCGTCGCGTTCGATTAGGATTAATGTATATTAATAAGCTTATCTACAAAAAAAAGTCACGAAAGGCGAAACCTCTGGCGGAAAGCTAGTATAAAATAATTTATAGAAGTATAATATTACCCATAGCAAGTATTGTTACAACATTTTTTTACAATGTACAAAATGTTGACACTTTATATTATTTGAGATACATAAGTATAGGCGTTTAAGTTGTGCTAATGTTACGCGCTCTACATTAATGGCATTAAAACTACTAATGTGAAAGCAGTCTAATGTGAAAAGTCTTCTAGTTGTTCTTAGCTACTTCGCCCGCGTAAATTACGTCACCCTTGTGTGATGTTGCTCCCATCTACAATTAGTAAATCGAGGTGAAACAATTTTTCAAAGAGGCCCACTACTTTTGGAGGCCTATTCAATGCAAACTATATTACCTATGTAAGTATAATTTTTTATAGGTTGGTCATTCATTCATGTGCACACATTCACACGGCACCAACAAAGCATTCAAAACAAATAAAATCATTCAAGCATTAAAAGCAGCGGAATTTCAACCTTTTTCAAATGTAATCTAATTGGAATAGTACTGTGCTCGTAATACTTTATTGCGATTTCGAGTGCGTGTCTCACAGCGTTAGTTATATTTGTAAAAAAAAGTTAAAGGTATATGAAGAAAAGAGTCTATTTCTTAGTGAAAAAGATGTCATTATTAAAAAGCACATGTTACCATGACAGGTATATTCTGTAAGCATTTTGATAATAACACTATCAATGTTGTAATAATATGAATATAGATCAATTAAAAACTATATAAATAACAGAGATATCATATCATCTAATCCCAATACTATTTATCGAAATTAGCATCAGAATTATCTTTGTATTGCGCTCGAATACAAAGGGATTTTAATTAAAATGATGCAGTTCTATGATGTAGTAATCCATCAAAGCTGCTTATGTCTTTCTTTTGGATTGGTTCTACTGAATGTCTATTAGCACCAATTAATGGGATCTAGGGTAAATTGACGCGTTTGGAACTCGTACGCGACAGATGGTCCAAGCAATGGAACAGCGGCTACCTTGCTTGCACTGTTGAGAGTGAATTGGTGTTACCTTATTGTGTTGTAGATATTTTTGTACGTGGCTAATTTTTTTTTAATCTGTCAAAATCAGATGTAAACAAGAAAGATGGTTTTTTAATAAAACGTTTATGATCTGTACCCGGAGGTTAACGATCGATTTTTATCGATACACCAACAGTTTTAGCATACATACTAATATTATAGTGAAAGTTACATTTTCACGCTTAAATTACTGAATCAATTTTAATGATATTTGGTAGAATTTACCTTGGAAAAGGACACAGGATAGTTTTATCTCGAAAAACTTTTTAAAGAGGTTGAAATAATGGATGAAAATTTGTATAAAGTGTTGTCCTCGTCTAAAATAAAAACATAAAACTTTGTTAATAATTAAAATAGGAAAAAAGAAATATTTGTATTAGAGTTTTTGACATTTCAACATAAAGCGACAATAACCGAATTCCACGTGGACGAAAGTTAGTTTTAAAATATTGTTAATTGCATTTTTTTTTGTTGTTGTAAATATGTTCCTCGTAATAAGCGTAATGAAACCGCAGTAAAAAAAAAATGTGCACTGTAAAAAAAATGTTTTGAACATGTGCACAATTGTACATATATCTGGGTTACCTTGTCGCACTGTCGAGAGGTTGTGGCGTGCCTGGTGCTGCCGAGGCTCCCTCGCCATCCGGCAGGTCGGGGATATGCGGCAGCGGTCGACTCTGCAGAAGCGCTTCTGTCCAACACAAATTCAATTATGTAATTAATTTATTTTCTCTTATAGGTAATCTAAGATAAAGTTATAAATGTACTACGTAAAGGTTAAACAATAACCATTATTTCTTTAAGAAGTGGCGTAAGTGTTAAAATTATCCCACACAGCGGCTCGTATGTAATCGATTCTATCACACAAACTATTATAAGATAAAATAATTATAGACACATAAGCTTACAAGTAACAAGTAAGATGGCGCGAGTTGACCTAATTCTAAATATATCAATCATATAGACATCGCCGTGGGTTTTCTATAATTATTTTTACTATCATAGCTTTCGTTAGAGATTGCAAAATTTAAGCTATTTCCTCGAACACTAATGATTGTATGCTATATTATAAATGTGAAATTCCTGTTTTTTAATGTACACGTCGATTTAAATTATAATAAAACCGACTTGATGTAAAATTTCAGAGTGAATTTTTTTATACAAAAGCTGTAAAATTCTTTATCCGCATAGTGTCATACCATTACCGTAATAGGAACGCGTCAGACAAAAACATATTCTTTGTATTGAATAGACAGAGACGACACCCACTAGAGTTTGGTCTAGTGACAAGACTAACAATGGAGCGTTTCGCGCTCGTTTGTGATAGTTTTTTTTTTTGGTAAATTTGTATAACCATTTTTATATAATTATAGGACATCAGAAAGTAGTTTGTTTAAAATCAGATACTGATTCGACTTCATCAACTTCTAATATAATATATATGTTGTATATAAGTATTTTTTTTGTTGTTGTTTTAAATTTAATTGGAATCAAGTATACAATGGTCACCTGTAACCATTACAGCAGTCACAAACAAAAAATAAACTTAAGTGAATGTAATAGGCTTTTTAAAATGCAATATATTCTTAACTTATAATAAAATACAACATAGGGAAAAATCAAAGAAAATCAAGCTTTCTTTGAATGTGCCTATGATGCACAAGTTCATAAACCAAAGAGTAAAATAATTCATAAACAAAAGAGTAAAATAATAATAATGACACAAATAAACATCATTAAAATTGCCATGTGTGAACAAGACAGTAACAGTGGATGATTATTTTATCGCAATTTAAGTTTATCGAATTTTCAATTACACATGCGATGGTTCTTCGCTATACTAACGTACAGTAAATACATCGAAACGCTCAAGGGTTAGGCACAATGTCGCCGTGTGATATGTGATCGCAAGACTATGCTAGCCGATACTCATAACAAGTTTAAAAAACACTTTGAATCTCGAAACAGAATAATATATCATGTCGAGAATTTTTATTGGTAGGTATGTGGCATCATTGTGGTATTGCGCTGTAGGTACATACATTTGTAGTTGCAGGCTAAGCCGTAATTTTGACGTCGTTGTGTGGATTTGCAAGATGTCCACTCTGTTACCCGGCAATTAGTGTTATAGTATAATTGTGTCCATACAAAAACAATGTTTTAGTATAAAAAAAGTAAAATTCCAGTTTTCGTTTTATGGTTACAAATGCAATTTCTAATTGGGGTGTATTTGTTGTGCGTTATTTCCGTTACGCGTTCTATACGGGTGATGTACGCGGTTGATCTGGGGTGCAATTCTACTAAATAAATTTTGTTTAAATCGAATCGAAAACGGATCGAAACCGAACGAAACTACAGTTTTGAATGGTTTTTCTATTCTACTAAGTGACATACGATACAATTCCAGCAAAAATAGAACTGGAATTGTATCGTATCCTATGTTACTTTGTAGAATAGGAAACCCATTAAAAATCCGTTCGATTCGATTTAAACAAAATTTATTTAGTAGAATTGGCCCCCTGGTGTAGTAGGCACAGTAGACGGATCGTTCACGTGGTTGTATTGTCACATCACGGTAATGGAAGATACTTAAAATAAAAAACGTATAATTTCGTATTTCTCCTTCACAAGCAGAATTTAAAGTAAATTTGGAAACAGCTAAAATGGGAATAATTTCCACACAAGAGTTCTTAATCGGGACTAAAATTTTCCGCTGCGGAAATTTCTCCTAATACACTTAAAATCTTCTCCAGAGCGTTCTATTTACGTAGTTGAAATTGTTAGCAACAACTCTGTCGCAACACTAGCGATTCCTTTATAAGTCGCGAGCTTTCAACGGTGTTTATTTTGTTGGTCGGAGCGGTAAAGATACTGTTTTATTAACGAAATCGGAACAATTACTTTTTTTAAAAAGTTATCCGCCATTTCAAAGCGAAATGTAAGTCTTGAGCCGAGCTATTTTTGTGTATTCGGTTTTTTGTAGGCTTCATGGCACTGAACTGAGAAGCGAATGGTATTAATTTTTTATTTATATAACAGGACGATGAAAACGATTTTTTAACGTTTGCGGCATACTGTCGAATATTTATTTATTTTATTTAACACTAAGCACACAGGATTTTGGCGGACTTGATAACGAAAACAAAACCAGTTGACCAGATGGGTGATGTGGTGGTAGAGTGCAGAATGGAGATATAGGTAAGAGAAATAAAACTTTTAACAAAATACACAATACATATCGCACACCTAGATCTAAACTAAGACAACTCAAAAAACTAATGTGGAGGTCTGACATTAAATTTGTTTACGTGGCAGGAGCGCGACCACTGTTGTTTCAACAAAAGAAGAGCTAAAGCTATCTTGCGGCTCATCCCCGAACCTTTATTGAATCTGTTATGTTGGATAGATGCGTATGATCACCAAGTATTTGAATATTGTACTAAGTCAAAACTCGCTCAAATTTTTGAATTGTCTCAGTTTAGATCTAGGTGTGCGATATATACGTTCATTACTACATATACTAAAACAATATATAATGTACATATATAAAAGGAGATGTACTGACATACTGACTGACAGACAACGCATAACCTAAACGTAGAGACTTGAAATTTGGAGGGGACATACCTCTTATTACACGGAGATATACTAAGAACGGATTTTTGTAAATTCCAACCCGAAGGGAGTTAAAAAAGATGAATGAAACTTCTTAGTTTTTAGACTTATATCGATGGAAATGGGAAGGTAATAGGATATATTTTATCCCGGAAACCAGCACTTAAAGGGATAAAAAAGGGAGTGGGAGTTTTTATAGGGAATCAAAATGTCATTGTTGAACAAGCCCATGTTCTTGAGTCCTAGGAGGTACTTAGGGTAAATAAAACCACGTCATAAACTGAGCACAGTTTTATAAATAATAGTAATTCTTTATTTATCTCATGAAAAGTTACATTGCACAGATCAAGAAATTACATTAGTTAAAAGTTACATCGGTATAGAATTTACAAATAACAATTATCTTGAGAGTGGTGTCTGCAATAGGTTTTCGTCTATCCGACAGATCAGCAAGACGGAGTATGCGAGTTTAGTACACAGAGCATAGTAGTAAGAGCTTGCATACTTCTACTCTACGCTGCCGAATGGTATATTTTGGTGTAGTAAATTTACTAAGACAAAATATCAATTTTAAACAATTTCAATAAACATATTTTTATTATCAGAGCGGCCATGATATGGTACGGTCCACGTCCATCAGTATTGAGCGGGTGATGGGTATTTTTCAATGCAAAAGATTACTTTTGCCTGGTGCAATTAAATTACGGCAATGCAAAGCAGAAAACCTAAATCTTAAGGCTTAGAAACAAGAGTAAAAATTTGATATTATGTAGAAACCAGATGATTACAGTTGTGTATCAATATTTGAATTTAAGATCATTTATCGCAGGGGAAAGCCACTAATATTTCATTAGGAAACTTTCGAAGTAGTTTATTTGATGTAAAATCTCAAAATATAGTTTAAAATTTTGTTAATTGTAGATTTTTCCTCTTCTAGAATGTAGCCGAACTCTGGCCTACGGGAAGCTACATCATACGGGTGGCTGTAAATGAACGGTGGCCAAGTCGCGGGAATACTGCTCGTAAATAAAGTGATATGTTGATTTACATGTTAAAAATGACACACTGCAAGTCTGTACCGCCGGTGTAAGGTTACAGCTTGCATCCTTTGTTGCGGTCTGAGTACGCTTAATGACCGACTCTTTTCATACTACAAAGAAAGCGGGAGGTCTCTAGGCGGGGAGGGAGGAGGATTGAATGTCACCACCCACTAATTGTGTTACCCCTTGACTCCACAATAATAGAATATAGTTTTGTATTATTCTGTTAACATAATCTGTTCAGTATCATATGTGCATTCATTATGACTAGTAATGTAATTAGGTAGTATTTATCGCTTTAACTAATTAAGAATCAATTTCATTATTTTATGGTCATCATTATAATATCTCTTGAAATAAATTTCACAATCTTACAGATTTTCGCTGTCTGCTGGATGTGATATTACTCATATAAGTATGTCTTTATATATTTTGTATTTATCGTGAAGTAACTTTAGGATATTTTGACAATTAATTAACTAGAGATAATATTTAGCATCACAAATGAAAATAAACTGACTGTTACGGACGGCGGCGACGGAGGCATCCCCTCGCGACCTCACCCTCGCAGACAGTGGAGGGGGCAGCTACATCAGAAGAAATAAGATAGATGCACTACCGCGCCACAGTAGTATCTAGTTGCGATCTAACAAATGTCAATTAAGAAATGAGATAGGTATAATAACTCCGACTGTTGTTTCCATCGTCGACATTTACTTATTTAAGAGTTTGAATATATATTTTTTTATTTTAATGACTAAGTACTTTATTTAATGTTCAAAGATGATTTCATATCTAATGCGTTTATCTTTTAATTGAACTTCTCTGCATAAAATACAATTCAGGGAGAAAAACAGACCTTGCAGTTTCTTTACTATTCTTCTCAGTGTAAGTACAAGTTTTAGATTTACGAACAGTTTTTCTAATGGATGGAAATGAATTAAAGCCAATAGAGAGAATAGGCCGTGACCCACCCCGCGGTCCGAGTGCGGATTGGTGGTCGTTAACTGATACAGCCCAGATTAACCTGCGCAGC